TACTTAAGTTTGTGTCTTTGCTTCCCTTCTAGTCACGTCGTGGACGTCCAAGCAACTCCTCTTTCTGGTTGCTGGTTTCGCTCTTAATCTGATGCTGCTTGTTCATTCCCAAGGTGATAAATCAGGTATAAATATATCAGCAGCAACAAAAAAATAAATCGTTAATTTTGGTAGCATAGTATATAGCTAGGATATATACCTGTATTTCTTACATATGTGTGTTTATATATCTCAGGATTCATTAGCATAGATTGTGGCCTCCAGGCAGATTCAAATTATTCTGAACCGGACACTGGCATAACTACATTTCCGATGCAACCTTCATAGACACCGGTGAAAGTAATCCACATTGTCTAAATTCCAGAATTTGATTGTCCTGTAAGTTATTTGGTTATGTGTCTAAAGTACCGTAATGCTTAATTTGTTATAAAGCACCGTGACAGATTTTATCTTTTGCAGAAACTTGGAGAAAAACAAGTTCACAGGCTCGGTTCCGGTAGGACTGATTGAAAGCAAGAATAATGGTTTTCTAGTATTAAGGTATGTCTTTCTTAGTAAATCAAGCCCTTCAAATTCAGTGTTTGGCTCACCCTAAAATTGAGTCTTTTCTATTTTAATTTGGACAAACTACAAAAAAGACCCCCCAAACTATATGGAGGATCATTTCAAGTTCATATACACACCTTTGGGGACATTTACAAGTACATAGTCAAAGTCACGGAAAATACCACCCAAGCTGTTTGGTTGCTGTAGTTGGGGTTTGAGTGGGGTGGGGTTTGCATCGGGGTGGCTTCAGTGGTGGTTGGAAGGGGTGGGTTACTGATGGCGTCGCTGGGTAGGAGGAAGGAAGATATTTTTGGTCTTCTTTTTTCTTTTCAATTTTTAAAAAGTAAAGAATCTTTTTATTATTTGTTTGTCCATCTGGAGTTCCATGCCATCAAAAATGGGGCCAAACGACCCAATAGTTGGGTTGGTCTTTTGTAGTTTGTCCTTTTAATTTTCTATTAACATACCATAAGTGTTTTCTATTTTAATTTTCAAATATCCTTAGAATCCACTTTTAATTTTCCACAAGGCAAGCCAAATTGGTCATACTCACAGCTAGAACATGGCATTAATTGACATGGACAGGTATGTCCACGACGACCAAGTCAAAGTCAATGCTCAATATTCAAGCAGAAAGGGAAATTTGCATAAATACCACCTAAACTTTTAGGTATGTGTGTCATTACCACATGAACTTTTAATTTTTATTTTTAACTACCTGAATTTTGTAAAGTGTTGTAATCCAACACCTATGTCTAGCTCCGTTAAAATTTCCATTAAATTTAAGGGTATTTTCGTCAATTAACTGACAAAAATGAATTATAAAGAAACAGAATTTAAAAAATAAAATTCACCTAATTATACGCATTACCCTAAACCCCTAAACCCCCCACCACACCCGACCACAAACACTCTGCTTTTGTCTCTTGGATTATCAAACCCCTTCTTCTCAAACCTTGAGATTATCTCTCCCACAAGTCCATGCTGACAGCGATTATTTTCACAGCACAATAATACCAAATTGGCCATAACTAGTCAATAATCAATAATTTTACAAGCCTTCCACATCAAGCCCAAATTTTCCACAAGGCAAGCCAAATTGGTCATACTCGCAACTAGAACATGGCATTAATTGACATGGACAGGTATGTCCACGACGACCAAGTCAAAGTCAATGCTCAATATTCAAGCATAAATACCACCTCAATTTTTAGGCATATGGTCCAAATTCAACTTAATCTCTCTTTTTTCAAGAAAAAAAAAGAGAGAAGAAATTTCATGAAGAACTTATCAAACAATTACATCATCATCAAGGAACGAGCAAAGCCAAGAGGGGTCTATCCTTGTACACCTCCACTCAATCCAATCCAATAGTTGTATCAGAGCACTTAATAAATTCCAACAATTTGTATCAGAACTTTGTTTGATCATTTTGGGCGTAAGGGCTGATTCTAATCCTTTATCAGGGAGGGCTATTCGAACAACCTTGGGTGTAAGGGCTGGGATGAGGGAGAGCATGTGTAGTGTAGATAGATAGTTATCTCCCCTCTACTTGTATTTGTAGATGGTGCTTTTTTTTTCCTAGCTGATTTTGTGCTAGGCTTCTATTTCTCTTATGGTTTGTGTCGTCCGCTAATTGTTTTATGGTCAACCTACCGACCTTTTAGGTTGGATCCTTTGGTATATTTGTGAAGATCTATAGTTCTTTGGTCTCTGATGTATTGTCCTTCTAGTTGTGTTCAATGTTATCCTTTTAAATGTTAAAGAAACCATGCAAACGGTTTGGTCCGACTCTTCATTTAATTTCCAAAAACGTCAAACATACACAGAACGCGTGCTTTAATTAAGGACATGATGTGCTATCTACAAAATGGAAGAAAGCTGGCAGAGTTTGATGGCAACAAGTATCCATTTCGATCTATTGTAGATCCTGACCGTCCATAAATCATGGCACAATGGACCATGGACAATGATCATCAATATCATGAGAGAACTGTTCCAACTAATTCTCTCTCAAAACATAAATAGAGAGAGCTCATCAAATTGTGACTCGCAATGAGGAGACATTTGTATTTCCCAATAACATAAATGGAAACACGACGGACATGGCTGGAAGGAATATTTAAAGTAACATGGCTGAAAGGGATTATTTTTATTTTTATTTTTTGAGTATTTTTTGAATAATTTTTAAAATAACATGGGAATTTGAAATAGTACTAATTTTCTGCGGAAATGAGAGGAAAGGAAGAGAAACAATAAACAAATGATGGAGGAAAGCAGCATAAGAGAAGAGAAGTAGAAGAGAAAAAGACTTTCAAGGGAAGGAGACCGGGCATCTGTTTATTAGAATAAAAAAACAAAAAGCAACCACAGCATGCGGAAATGAGAGGAGACAAACTCTCATGCACATAGAGGGGATAGGGACAACTTTGTAAAATTTGCACTCTCTGCACTCTCACTCCAAAAATCTGCTGCAATATATAGCTTTCTGAAGAAAAATGAAGACTCTGTCTATATGGCCCCACCTGCAATTTGAAATAATACCTTAGAATTTTTTTTGGCGAGGGGCCCATTTCAATTTTTTTTCTTTCTGAAACGTGACCTAACTGCTATAGCGATAAGGGGTAGAGATTAACAAAAGGACATTCAAACACAACAAAGAGTTTGATCCCAGGGCCTCAAATACCACAGAATTTACGGCACAAAGTTCATATAGCGGAACAAGCCATGAATTCTAGCTGTTGTTTAATGCAGGTTTTTAAGAAACAAAATAAAAAACTACTATAAACTAGAACACATTAAAAAATTATTATTCTACCATGTCTATATTGAAAACAAAAGTGTGTGATAATATCAATTTAGATGCATAAAAGCTTGTTTGAAATTAGGAGAGTTTTAGACGAGCTTTTATGCTCAAGGATTTTGGATTGATGAAATTGCTCATTGCATCGTCAAAGAAATTGACATGAATACGAACTTGTCCTTGAATTGCTACAAATATTAAACTACAATTGCAAAATTGATGGAATTGAAACTATATGGTCAAAAGTGGTTAAAGTGTCAAACTATAGGGACCAAAAGTGACTTTTGACCATATATATATTATAAGCGCGTAACCATCCATGTCAGAAGGACTGTATCATCTTGTATACGGTGATGACCAATTTGCTGAGAAACTTGTGTGGAAATTTGGGCTTCACTCGGCATACCGTGGGGTTTGGGGAAGACTTGTAAAACACGACCTCCATGGGGAAGAATTAGGTGGTATTTACCAGCCACTTCTACAGAAGCTGCCACCAAGTCAAGTCACGGTTCGTCCCCAACTCTACTCTTATCTGTACGTGAAGAAAGTTCAAACCGAAGACTAGTTAATGATTTGGTTGGTCAAAACTTCGAACATGCACGTAGGCCCAAATAAAAAAGAAGAAAGGTAGTAAATGCCTTGACTATAAATTTCATTTGGAGCAATGCTTCACTTACATTCCCAAACCGAATAAACTTTTTAAGAACCTCATAGTGAAAGTAATACTGTCTCCTCATGACTTTTTAACATCTTTAAGAGCTGAAAATAGTGAAAGCATATCAAAATCTTCAATTATTTTAGCCCTTTAAGAGTACATAAGAGTAGTATTTTAGAAAATATCTCTGTTTTGAAGTATCAAAATTTTGTTGCTTAGTTATTAGCTCATGCATTTTCATCAAATGTCCCATAAAATAATTTAGGAATAGATTTTGTATTTATTGTAATTACCCATTAGATTTTGTTTTATAAATGTATTTATTATTTTAAAATAATTTGTGGGTCTCTATATTGCCACATCATGGGTTAACAGATTTTTTGATAGCAGATTGACGGTAGGTATGAAAACAAAAGGAAATTAAATTTTATGTACGAAGTTTATACCAAAAATACTTTATGTAGCAAACTTTGAATTTCATGTACGAAGTTGGAAGACTTTAGGTAGCAAACTTTATTGTAGATCCTGACCGTCTATAAATGACGGCACATATGGACCATGAATAATGATCATCAGTATCATAGGAGAACTGTTCCAACTAATTATCTCTCAAAACATAAATAGAGAGAGCTCATCAAATTGTGACTCGCATTGTATAATCAATGCTAGCTTAGCAACCCAATTTGAATGATGCTATCATCATCATGCATCCTTTTTTTTTATCTAATTGCGGACCAACAATGACTTGACTTGGCTGTAGCTTCGACACTAGTTGGTAACTTATGCACAGAACAGAAAATTCTACCAATAACCAAAAGAAATTACAAACAAGTGTTCGTGCACAAATTAACTAAAGTTTTTACACCACTTGAAAAATGGACTTTGAGACATGAGACAAAAAGCGTAGGCTTGACTTATGTTATTTTTATATATAAAATGATATCCATTCAACACAAAATACTTACTTAAGTTTGTGTCTTTGCTTCCCTTCTAGTCATGTCGTGGACGTCCAAGCAACTCCTCTTTCTGGTTGCTGGTTTCGCTCTTAATCTGATGCTGCTTGTTCATTCCCAAGATGATCAATCAGGTATAAATATATCAGCAGCAAGAAAAAATAAATCGTTAATTTTGGTAGCATAGTATATAGCTTGGATATATACCTCTCTTTTTTACATATATGTGTTTATATATCTCAGGGTTCATTAGCATAGATTGCGGCCTCAAGACAGATTCAGGTTATTCTGAAAAGGATACTCGCATTAACTACATGTCTGACGCAACCTTCATAGACACCGGTGAAAGTAAATCCACATTGCCTAGTTACAGCGATTACTATCAACAGCAATACGGGTCTGTTAGGAGCTTCCCCGAAGGAGCCAGGAATTGCTACAAGATAAATGTTACACGAGGCAACAAATATTTGATCCGAGCAAGTTTCTTATATGGGAATTATGATGGCCAAGATAAGATACCAGAATTTGAACTGCACCTTGGACCTAATTTGTGGAATACTATTACGAACCTTGAAACCTCCGAAGCCACGGACAAAGAGCTCATATATGTCCCACTCCGAAACTATATACATGTTTGTTTGGTGAGTACAGGCTATGGGGTTCCATTTATATCTGCTCTAGAACTCAGGCCATTACCTAATGCATCTTATGAAACGAAAACGGGGTCATTGGCACTTGTCTCCCGATATGACATGGGCCCAAATGATAGGACAGGATGCAGGTGAGTCGTCTCCTAGCTAGCTATGAGTTATGTGTATGTGTGTGTGTGTGTTTGCAATCCTTGAAACTTTTAATTTTGATTATATTCTGATGGAACATTGGCTTTAATTAGGTATCCTTTCGATATTCTTGATCGATTCTGGTATTACTATAATGAACTCGATGATTGGACACAATTAAACACCTCATCCACCATCAAATCTAAATCTGACGACCCGTACCAACTCCCATCTGTTGTTATGAGTACTGCTTCAACGCCAAAAAATCCAAGTGATTCCTTGAGTATTATTCTCTCGTTGCCAGACAAAAATGCTGAATATTACAGCTACCTGCACTTTGCAGAAGTTGAAAGCCTCCAACTCAACCAATCTAGATGGCAATATGTTTCTGGGGAAGGAACCGGCAGTTTTGGGCCATTTGCTCCTCCATACATGTCAAGATATACCGTTTACGACACTGAAGCTTGGAGCACTGGTGGAGAATATGTTAAATTTCAGTTACCAGGGCGGAGAACTCTACCCTTCCACCTGTCCTCAATGCTTTCGAGATTTATATGGTTAAACAGTTCGTAGAAGCAGAAACAAACCAAGAAGATGGTAACCACTAACTAATTAGTTCTTCCTTACACAAGTGGCTTCCTCTCATTTAGTACCTTACCAGTATGGAAGTGTACATATGAATTCTTCTGATGAAATCTTCTGTTTGCGTGTGAAAATATTAGTTGATGCAATCACATCGATCAAGTCAACTTATAATATTAAAAGAAATTGGCAAGGAGATCCATGTGCCCCTCAACATTACGTTTGGCACGGAGTAAAGTGTAACTATCAAGAATTTGAGTCACCAAGAATCATATCCTTGTAAGTATATATGGCCTCAAACAAACTTCCCCTGATATTTGAGTTAATTCTACCTCATGTGTTCACTAGTGAAGTTACAAAACATACAATCAGGGACTTGTCCTCGAGTGGCTTAACAGGGGAGATAGCTGCTTCTATATCCAATCTCACAATGATACAGTCTTTGTAAGCATATATGTCTTACTGAATTTGCTAAACGAGTACTTACCAATGTAATGAGAAGGTAGACAATCAGTTTAATTTAAATGAATTGAGCTGCTCATGATTTCAGGGATCTATCAAACAACAACTTAACGGGACCAATTCCAGAATTTTTGTCTAAATTCCAGAATTTGACTGTCGTGTAAGTTATTGAATTGCTAATGGGACTAAACTATAATTCCTTCATCAAGTACAAATTATGGTGACAAAATGCAGTGGTTATGGCTTTTCAGAGAGTTGGACAAAAACAATCTCACAGGTTCTGTTCCGAAAGGACTCATTCAAAGAAGGAAGGATGGTTTCCTATCATTCAGGTCTGTTTGTTTATTAACAAATTAACACAGAAACATCTCGGTTGATTATCCATCAAAATCTTAACAGTTGGCCTCAACCATTTGTTATCAGTTTCTGCGAAAATCCAAATCAATCCAAACAAGTCCCTTGCGAACTAAAGAAGAAACACCGTACCAATATTCACCTGGCGGTGTATACCCTTGGATTCCTCCTTCTCTTATCAACAATATTAGCCGTCTTATGGGTGGTCTTTAAAAGGAAAAGACAACATGGTGAGACTGCCAAATAACTTTCTTTTTTTCCGGGAGTATTTTACTGATAACCCTTTTTGGTGTAGAGATGATGAAGAATTTCAACAAAAATGAATTTTTGGAGTCACAAGGTCAACGGTTTACATACTCAGAGATTGTGAAGATTACCAATAATTTTGCATCAATAATCGGAAGAGGCGGTTTTGGAAAAGTGTACCTTGGTACTCTGAAAAATGAGACTCAAGTTGCCGTGAAGTTACTCGGTTCATCAAGGCAAGGCTCAAATGAATTTCGAAATGAGGTAGATATATGCAAATGGGTTACTTCATATTTACCTCTGGATCACGAAAGTACAGATGTAAATATATACACATGTTGCATACAAAATTGCAGGTTATACTTTTAATGAGTGCTCATCATAGAAACTTGGTTTCTCTCATTGGTTACTGCGATGAAGGTGACACTATGGCCCTTGTTTATGACTACGTAGCCAATGGAAACTTGGAACAACATATTTCATCTGGTATGCATGATTTTGCAAATGATTTTATTTTGAACTTGAACAATTCAGAGATATATGGAATCGTGATGATCGACAACTCTTGGGTGCAGATGTAGGTAAAAACGTTTTGACTTGGAAAGAGAGGCTTCAAATTGCAATAGATGCCGCACGAGGTAATTGAACACTAAATAAATAACTACTAGCTAGGTATATATAAGTTTGGTGTATATGTCCAGACACCTTATGTTTAAGTACTTCTAAATGAATGTTTAGATTTGAATAAGGAGACACTTCTCATCTTTACAAATCACGGTTTGACATAAAAAAAAAAAAAAAAAAATAAAAAAAATTAAAAACACACAAAAATTTATGCATACATGTCATACTGTGATTGGAAGGAAGTAAGAGTTCCTGTTTCCAGGAGAAGGAGGCAAGTATTTTTCTTTCTGTTGGTTTGAGGACAAACCTTGTTATGCCGTACCTTTACTTGATGTTGAGAAGAGAAATATCACTAAAATAAGAGCTAATTCGTACTTTTAGTGTTTGAACATTCATGATTCATGAATAGATTTGAACATCTGAAATGATCCCTTAATATAGGTCTGTGTTTGATACTTTCCTCCCTCAATATCACGTGTATATATAAATATAATTTTAATTTAGTTTACTTACCATAGCTCATGGCAGAAATATTTTTGCAGGACTGGAATATTTACACAATGGTTGCAAGCCACCCATTGTGCATAGAGATCTAAAGACATCCAATATCTTATTGAATGAAAAGTTGCAAGCTAAGATAGCTGACTTTGGTCTTTCTAAAGGTCTTGCAACTGAAAGTGCCACTCATGTATCAACCGCGGCCAAAGGAACTTTTGGATACCTGGATCCTGAGTAAGTTTTAATCATGCTAATAGCTAGAGTTCTCGTAGAAATTGTTTGAGGTCATATGTTGGTGTTGCCTAGAAACCAAGAAATTCTTCTTCCAGTTGTTGATATGACAAGTTCAAATTTTGGTACTTCAATATTTTAAAACCATTTTGACTGAGGGGTTGTTTTATTAAATATATTGTTCACAGTTATTATTTTTTCTTATTCTCTCCAGATATTGCAGTACTGGACAACTTAACAAAAAGAGTGACATATACAGCTTTGGGATTGTGTTGCTAGAGCTCATAACAGGTAGAGCAGCAATAATAAGAGATTTGGAACAATTACCTATTCACATATGTCAATGGGTGAGGCCTAAATTTGAGAAGATCGAAATCGAAATCGAAAGCATTGTGGATTCAAGAATACAAGGAACCTTCCTCAACTCTTCTGCTAAAAAATCCATAGAAATTGCCATGGCATGTGTGTCTTCAACATCAATCCAAAGGCCCGATATAACTGTTGTGTTTAATGATTTGAAAGAGTGTTTGGAAATTGAGATGCCTTCTGAAATAACAAAGATTACAGAAGCTTATGAGAACGATGAGAGTGATGATACAATCAGTTCAAGCGGCTCAATTATAAAGACCTCCCACATCAGGTCTGAAACTGAAAGTAACACTATTAGTTGGTAATTCTGTAATATTATTTGAACTTTTGTAACCGAAAAAATATATTATTTAAAGTTTCGAATTCCTTACGGGAATTTTTGTTACACAGGCTTGGCTTGGACTGGCTTGCACTAAATTTAGTCTCATGTTTGTTTCATCTAATCCTAGTTTTAAATGGGATTGCCACTACCGAGCCCACCAAAAACACCTCTTTAGGAAGGGACTAATAAACTCATGTGGAAAGAGAGGATTAACTAGTTCATGCCAAGACAATCTTGAGTAACAAAAGAGGCCTACGAGTACTTGTGCAAGCAATAGATATGGAGAAAAGTTTAATGGACATACAAACATAGTCAGTAGCGGACCTATAAAACTGCAATGAAAAACCATTGTAAATACTTCAAATTGCACCTTTGCTTAACTGGTGGTTGTGCACTCCAGATGTTCGACAAAATGACTCAGCCAAAGTCTGTTTGTTGCGGTGCGTTGCTCCTTGAGCTCCTTTTATTTATTTATTTTTTTAAATGATAAAAAGTTCTAACCAAAATGACGTCGTTTGGGCCAGCAAGCAAAAAAAAAAAAAAAAAAAAAAAAAAAAACAAACAAGAGAGGCAAACTGCAATTCATGGTCTTTCAACAACATGCTTAGGCCTTCATTTCGTGGGCTTTAAAAAGTCTTTAAACATCATTTTCTTTCTTATTTAAACAAGGATTACGAAAATATTTAAAAAAGAAGGAAATCAATTGGGTTGCTATTGCTGCATTTTTTTCCCTCTTCACCAAAAGTAAGTTTGTTGTGTTGGTTTTTTTTTCCTCTTCTCGACCAAAAGCCAATTCGTTTCTTCTTCTTCTTTTTTTTCCCCCCTTTTTTTTCTTTTCCTAATTTGGCTTTTATGAAATTCGACACGATTAGAGGTATGATCAATTATAATTTGTTTATTTTATTCAATTTTTTAATAAAGCTTTTAATCTTTCAAAATTGTACATCCGTTAAAAAATTTCTGAGTCTGCCAATGAACATAGTTGGCTATGTTAATTGACGTGAGCTATGACATGTATTAAATGTTATGAAATGTATGGTCATGAACTGTTTTTGGTATTTGTCTTTTTAGGCTAGCTAGTCACCGGTGAAACTTCTAAAAGGTCTATTTTCCACAACATGCAAGTACTACTACAAAATACCCCTTAAGTCTCCATTATATTCATACTATTTTTTATTATAAAGAAAACAAACAATAAAAAAAGGAATATCTATTGCGCAAATGTATATATTGCTGACTTGACTTGAATGGGTCAAACGGCTTGAAACATCTATTACTAATAGATTACTCACTTGTATAGTTCAAATGGTTATGAGCATTTACTCTGAACTTGAAGGTCCTATGTTCGATTCTCCCTCTCCCAATATCACTTGTGAAAAAAAACCAAAATTCTCATAATTAGCCTTCAACAACAACAACTAGGTTTATGTCAGGAGCTTTCCTCAAGGTGTCAGCAAATGGAATTAAGGCCTTTGGAATCAATCATTCTTTAGGGATGCCAATGAAAACTGCTTCAGAGTTCATTTCGAAAGTCATAAACGCTTGTTATTATGGAAAATGTAGCGACGAAGACAATATATATTATTTGCCAGTGCCAATTTCAATACCGAAACCACAAAAGAGATACAACGACTTCGTTTCTTTTCCTGGTAAAATAAGCGACACTTGCCAAGATGCAGTATTAGTTTTTTTCCTTTCGAGGAGAAAGATGCATTATTATAGTTGAACAAGTGTTAATTTGTCATCAGTGAAATGTACGTACACGTATTCATTGACCAGATTTCACAAGACGACTGGTTCAACTTCAACCTATTTGTAAGAATGCATAATTATTAATGATGGATCTTTCAAGACCGTCCACGGTCCACCCACAAAAGTCGTCGACCACACTTTGATTTGTAAGTTGAATAATGGGTTTTTCATATATAAGAAAATGATATACTCTTATTGCTTTATATAATTTTCATAATTTGTAAACAGAATAAGTAATAATTTATAGTAATTGCATTACCCCATGAACTTCAAACCCCTCTCTCTCATCCACACATAATACTAATTCTCGAGTTATCTCACTAAATTTAAGGTATATTAATAATACACAAGTTAGTTCACTAGATTCAAAGTATGTTAAGAAAAAAAATACGTGCCAATTTTCAAATTTTGTCTAACTTGATCGTAGAAGATGAATTAATCATCTTCTAACCATCAAACCGCGTTCTTTGTAAAATTCCAATCATGATTCATATTCAACGTGCATTTGCGTGTGTATACATGACATACCAAAAACAGTCGCTTAGATTTATTTGATAATCAAACTATATTGGAAATTGTGGTGAACATCCACTTGGCAATATTATAAACAAAGATAAAAATATTAGACAAAAGTTTAAAGGATTTTCAAGTCTGAGGATGATGACACTTTTTTGATGACGTCCCTTCACGACTAGTTGACTTAGCAGTTTTTCGAACCAAAAAAAAAAAATATTTGTTGACTTAGTAGTCTAATTAGTTTCTATTTTAGAAATTAATGTCCAAAATACCCTTAGACTACTGTTTATGGGATTTACACAGTCGTATTGATTTACCTATATTAGATATGTTGAGAGGTTTTGTCCTATGTTAAAAAGTTAAGATAACTAATGGACTTATAAGGAGGTTACTTTCTCTATTGCCAATTGATTTTTGGTTGGAACCTAAATTTTGTTGATGATACCAGAGCAATGTTATCTTATAAGGAGTTGTGGGCTACTCATTGCCAATTAGGCTTCGTTGCGACACATTGTGACTGGTATCAATCTTCTTTTCTTGCTTCCAAACTTCATGTACAAATGGTGAGCCAATTCCAACACATTGTATATATGTATGTCACATACCAATATTCTTTTTCTTTTCTTTTTTGGCATCAAATAGGGGTAGGGGAATTCGAACATGAGAGCTTTTTTAACATTGGGAAGTAAGCTAGTTGGTTTGCATATAAATATTTGAAATTTCTAAGTACATCCATGAGCTATATAATTCATGTGGCACTGGGGATGGGAAGGGGGTAGATCCTATAAAAAAAACAAAAAAAAAAACAAAAAACAAAACAAAAAAAAAAAAAAAAAAAAACAAAAAAAAAAGAGATACAAATAGACCCCTAGACTCAAAATATTAAATTTGGATAGTGTGTAAACAGAATTATTTATTCTCACCAGGACTTATTTACTTTGAAAAGTAAACTTAGATATAAAAAGACAACAAAGTATTTTAGAAAAATACAACTAGACCCTAGAAAACCCTATATATAATGCTGTCTTTGAAAACAAATACGTATCTTATTGCCCAAGTACTATGATGTCGTGGGTATTCAAGCAATCCCTCTGGGCACTGCTAGGTGGTATTGCTCTGATTCTCCTAGCTCATGCCCAGGATCAATCAGGTATATATATATAATATATATATATATGCATGTTTGTAGTGAGAAAATAGAGTTGATCTTAGTTGGTATATAATTCTCATGCTTTTTCCCAGGCTTCATAAGTATAGATTGTGGTCTAGAGCAAAGTCCCGGCTACACAGAAAGAATTACCGGCATTTACTACATTTCAGACTCCCCTCTAACAGATACAGGAGACAGCAAGTCCATATCGCTCGATTACAGAGATCAATATACACGGCCCTTCTGGTTCCTTAGGAGCTTTCCCCAAGGAACCAGAAACTGCTACAGCATACGCCTTACGGGCGGCGATAAATATTTGATCCGAGCAAGCTTCGTTTATGGAAATTACGATAGCCAGGAACGTAATTTACCAGAATTTGAACTACATCTTGGAGCTACTTTGTGGGATTCAGTGGCGTTTTCGAATGCGTCCAGCATCACAATCAAGGAGCTCTTGCATACCCCTGCGCAAAACCATATACATATTTGTTTGGTCAACATCGGCACTGGGGTTCCGTTTATATCAGCAATCGAACTCAGGCCTTTACCCACTGCGTCTTATCCAACACAGTTGCCCAAACAGTCCTTGGCACTTCTGTTGCGCTATGACGTTGGTCAAACAGCTAATACAGCTGGATACAGGTGAGCCATTGCTTAGGAAAAATTTATGTATGGTATTAAAATACGACAACATAGTATAATTTGTTTATATGGGTAGACGCAGACCCCTCACCTCTTTTTATTTTTTATTTTTATAAGTATATTTTATATATATAAAAACATCATCTATGTATATTAATGTATTTTATGATACTTTTAATCTTTCAAGAATCATCCATTCTCCACTTTCTAAAAAAAAAAAAAAAAAAAAAAAAAAAATTTTACTATATCTATTATTGTTTTCTCTCCACCTATAGTTTGTTTGGGTTTGTGAAATTTTTTGTTGTGTTCTGTCCACAAATGGTTTGTTTAGGTTTGTAAAATTTTGATTTATTATCTATCTTGAGTATAATGGATCTTCCAAAAAATTTATGTGTGGATTACGAAAGGAAAAAATTTGTAAATATTATATATATATATATGATGTTTTGGTCCTCTTGGTTACTTTAGCATGTATTGTGAGTTTAGATTTTTTATATATACATTTAGTGAGAGGCCCCCACACATGAAATTCTAGCTCCGTCATGCAGTAGACGGCATGATTGATATTTCCCACTTTTTAAGAAATAATGTCAATAAATATATATTTTTATTATAACACGTGAACTATTATCCATCTTACATGGCCATAGTCTAATACCACTCTACAATTAGTCGTGGCGCAGGAGATAATATATACATTTGCAAGTATTCAATGGTATTTTTGCCGAAAAATAAACTGATGATAAATATTTGTATGCCATACAGGTATCCCAACGATATTTATGATCGCCTATGGTATTCCTATCCCCGCGATGATTGGGCACAATTAAGTACTCTATCCATCATAAACAACGATCAAAACACATACCAACTACCATCTGATGTCATGCGTACTGCTGCCACGCCAAAACATATTTCGAGCCAATTCTTGAATATTTCCTGGGTGCCTGCTGATAAATATGCGGAATATTATACTTACATTCACTTTGCAGAAGTTGCAAAGCTCCAAGCCAGCCAGATCAGAGAGATCTCTATTACCATAAATGGAGAGCTCACTTCGGACCCATTTGTTCCTCGTTACCTGTACACAAATACTATTAACAGCACCCTGGCTTTCAGAGGAGGAGGAGGAGCACAATCCTATAATTTTTCCATCTTTACGTCTGAAGACTCTTTCCTCCTACCTATCCTCAATGCGTTCGAGATTTATATGGTAAAAGAATTCTTAGAATCAGAAACAAACCAAAAAGATTGTAAGTACTCCTTCCCTCAATTATTACGTACCTACCTACCTTTCGGTTAGGTACTAGTATATGTATCACACAATGTCAGTAGGCCTAAATCGATGATTAAATCTAATAATAGCTTTGCACTAAATCGGACGGCTATTGAAGAATCCCTCATTATAAGCCCACATTTTTACCCCTCATTATAGCCTCCTTGAATAATAGTTGCTTGAGTCGGGCTCGAATCTAAAAACCCCTTAAGTTTTCTTGACATAACGTCCTTCTTTTTGTATATGATGAAAATATTATTAGTTGACGCAATCGCAAACATCAAGTCAACTTATATAATTATTAAGAACTGGCAAGGAGATCCGTGTGCCAAGGATTACTTGTGGGAAGGTGTCACTTGTACTGCTAGTGCTCATGAAAATGAGTCCCGATACATCAAATCCTTGTAAGTGTATATATGTATATATATATATATATATATATGTGTGTGTGTGTCCTCAGACAAAATTATTGATGATTTGATTTAATTATCTCTTTTTAACTTGGTTTATAGTTACGGGTAAATGCAATGCAATCTGTAGGGATTTGTCGTCTAGTGGATTAACAGGGCTGATAGCTCCTTCTATATCCAATCTCACAATGATACAAACTTTGTAAGTAAATTAATATACATGTTGTCATGAGTATTACAAAACTAATGAATATGGTGTAGCCTACAGCAGCATATATGGTAAGATCGTAATTTCATTTTCGCCCCTATATTGGTTTCATTTAGCATATAAGTTGATCGGCTCAGGCTCATGCTCATGATTTCAGGGATTTATCAAACAACAACTTAACAGGACCAATTCCAGACTTTTTGTCTCAATTGCCAAATTTAAATGTCCTGTAAGTTCATTTTCAAGATTATGTACATACATGGGGCTAAGTTAATTACAATCCCTAGTGAGAAAGCATGGTTAGAGTATGTCTTTACTTCTGCAGAAACTTGGAGAACAACAAGCTCACAGGCTCAGTTCCAGTGAGACTCAGTGACAGAAGCAAGAATGGTTTGCTTCTATTAAGGTGCTCTTTTTTTTGCAAAAAAAAAAAAAAAAAGAAGCTATGATCTTTGAATTTTGTGTGTACTGCCTAAATTGTGTTTAACATGCGCATGTTCAATTTCTACTTTCAAATTTCTCTAGTGTACATTAATTTTCCGATAACTAGATTATTGAGAATCTTATAGCATCTGCTACACTTATTATATAAAAAGAAGAAGTATATGCATGGAAATCTTACTGCATTTGCCTTGAATTACTTTTTCAGTTTGTGCGGAAATCCAAATCTATCCGGACAGGTTTCTTGCAATAAGAAGAAGAAGAAGCACAATCTCGGTGTTTCAGTAGGAGTCCCCGTTGGAATTTCAATCGGCATATTATTAGTTGTAGCAGCTGCAGCTATTTGGTGGCACTCCTTTAAAACCAAAGGAGAAAAAGGTAAGAGTGCCGAAATAGAATAGCTAGCCAGAGTGTTTCTTAAAAAACAATAGCCAAAAAAGAGCCCCCACACCACATGATCAGTTGTTTGCCGTTAGATGAGTGTGATTTAATCTAGGCTAAGCTAATCAAATCCGAATCCGATGAGCTGTAAATTTAGTGCTTAACATAGTTGAAACCTATTTTGAAGCTAACACAATGCCAGAGGAGCAAGAAGTTGGCCATACTGATACTAAGCCCACCCTTTTGAAGCCCCCTTCTGACCCCCGTCGGGGTCAACACTTCACTAAAGTTGAGATCACGAATATCACCAGTAATTATACATCGCTGCTTGGAGAAGGCGCATTCGGAAAAGTCTACCGTGGCACGCTGGAAAATAAGGTTGAAGTTGCTGTAAAAATACTCTCGCCTAGATCAAGTCAAGGCTTAGAAGAATTTAATAACGAGGTATAGATAATTCAACTATATATATTTCTTTCTTGTCTGGATTCTTTGTTGAAGATTCACAAAGACGAAACATGCATATCGAATTGCAGGTTGCGCTTTTGATGAGTGTTGCTGATCATAAAAACGTGGTTTCCCTAATTGGGTACTGTGATGACGTTGACTGTATGGCACTTGTTTATGCGTTCGTGGCCTATGGAAATTTGAAACAGCATTTATCAGCTGGTAATGATCGTATATTCATATGTATAAAGTAAAATATAACACCATAGATAACTCGTTCAGCTTTTCTCATCATCATTACACAAATATGGACTTTTGCAAGTGAACCTGCTGCTAATTAACTTCAATTTCCGAATCTTTTCTATTCTTCATCCTAAACAACTGTTGACCCCAAATACAGTACTTTCCGCTTCACCACCTGCATCAAGCCCGCAGTCACCGGACCACCGCTACATATCATCAGCTCCATTGCTTGTACGGTCCCATCGCTCTGACTCAGGTATACCATTGCTATATATTCATAAATGGCATTTATGATGAGAACTTTCTCCCCCACGCCGCTCCCCCTTTTTTCCCATTAGTATTACGCTGCCCAAGCAAATTGTTGGACAAGTGTTATTAACAAATGAAAAGAGTAAACCTAATTTCAGTATACACCTCAAATGCAGAGCTCTCACCTTCGCCATCTGCATCACTTGCACCACCGCCTCACACCGGCGCCACATTGTTTCACACAGCACATTCACATGGCCCCAAATCAGGTACTACATCTCCTTTCAAAACTCATGATCGAATTATTAATCTCATTTAACATTACAAATTATAAAACATTAATTTACATCATTTTAAATTCTATTGTTTATGAATTCCTTATATACTTTTAAATTTCCTCATCCAAACACACCGTAAGTTTCCCTCCTTAATTTTTCTTGTATAACTGCATGATTCATTGATAAAGAATTCTTGGGTGCAGATATTATTATAAGAGTTTTGACTTGGAAGGAGAGACTCGGTATTGCTCTAGATGCCGCACGAGGTAAGCAGATTAGTAAATTATAATAGATATGATATAAGTAGTCACTGTACATACGGGTGAGGCTCAGGAAAAACAGTGTGAGAGAGTTGAGATATAAAGCCAGTTTTGTTCTTATGCTAGCTGATATGATATGGGTACTGTATGCTCTTATGCTAGCTCCTGCTCTTTGACCAGCTTTGTAGTAGTGAGTAATGGCTGCTGAATTTTATAGGACTGAATTACCTGCATTCTCACCGCAATATGCCGATAGTTCACAGAGATATAAAGCCAGCCAACATTTTGTTAGACAAAAGATTGCAAGCCAAGATAGGTGATTTTGGCATTTCTAGAGCTTTTGCAACTGAAAGTATCACTCACGTATCAACTTTGTCCAAAGGAACACTTGGATACCTTGATCCCGAGTAAGAATTAACTATATATATATCCTGTTTTTTGCTTTTGTTTTTGTACCTTGTGGTATATATTTTCAATAGCCAATTTATCCGAGGGATTATTTTATTAGATTCGACCTTGTTGACATGTTTTCTTGTTATATTTGTCCAGATATCACAACACAAAACGGCTCAACAAAAAAAGTGATGTATATAGCTTTGGAATTGTCTTGCTAGAGCTAATAACCGGTAGAAGAGCCATTAACACTGAAGTAGTACAACCTGGAAGACCAGAAGTATGTATACACATAATTGAATGGGTGCGTAATGAAGTTAATAACCAGCGTATCGAAAGCGTAGTGGATCCAAAATTACAGGGAAAGTACAAGATGGATTCTGTTAGGAAAGCTATACAAACTGCCATGGCTTGTGTGCCTCTAACCGGAGCCGAAAGGCCAGACGTAGATGTTGTCTATAAGGATTTAGAGCAATGCTTGAAAATGGAGTCGGCTCCTGATCCCGAACCAAGGACTACAGCGAGCGATGATATTACATTTCCAACGAACAGGTGCATGATATCATAAGTTAATGCTATATATGTAAACACAATTTACTAATTAATTTGTATAACTATTTGTATTTTTATGGTACATTATTTGAAATTGAGAGTTTGATTGATGCTACTTTTATAATGGAAAAAGAAAGGGCAGGCTAAATGATTTTTTTTTCTTTTCTTTGTATTTTTTTTCCCATACGGTCCAATTCTAAGGTAGATTCTGTTCTGCTCATGGGTGGCAAAGTCAAAGTAGACTCTAATCTTTTGAAGGAGTTGACAAGTCAATTATATTTTTAAAAGTGGAACAAAATTCAAGGTTCAAGTCTTCCCTCACAAATGGTGAAATTCTTTTTGCAGCAACGTCTAATTGCAACCCATAATCAAAGTAGTAGAAAAATCTATAAATATATACAGGTGAATGAGGTCTGCTCTGGTGACCCTCTTCATCTTTGCCATGTGTCACAGGATGAGTGAGCGACGCGGCGAGGCAGAAGCCAAACACAAATTTCACCACTCAAAGCACACCCGTGCGGCCCAAGATCCCTTCATATCCCAGTTAGCCTTCTCCCACTTCATGATATTCATGACTCTCACAACTTCCCGAGAGGTTCCCCTTCAAGTGTCGTCTCCCACTAGACAACGAGTCACACTACCTTGTGACAATACAATCACTCCGCATCCGGCAACGAACCCTCGACGCCCATACATCAAGCGTTGCATAAGATACGTCAACTGCATCGACCACGTCGCATGCTTAACCCCTGGCTCGCTCATGTCCAAGTCAGGACATAGTGATCCAACACACCATCGGTTTACCCACACTTCTGTTGGTCATTCCTATGGGGTCCACGATAGCCCACATCCTCAAGCTATACACACAAGTTGTCATACTTGCATGTCGCCCAAGCCTTGGCGACATATGTATTCCGAATGTCCCACGTAACCATCTATGCATTGCATAGGGTCGCAACTCATGCTTACCAGCATCCGAATATCTTCCTTCCATCTTGGACAAGGCCGAACCCAAGCCAAGTCTATCAAGTATTGTCAAATGCCTTGCTAGCCAATGGCATAACGAATGTCATACGTTGACCTCACTCTTTACAACAATGCGCAATAAGAACGGCCCCGCGTGTTCGTACTGTCCTCGGGAATTCCTTTCCCTCGGAGACACAGATTATCCTTCAACAATCTTATGCCCGTTCTTATGACTTCCTCCATGTCATAAGGATGCTCGCTTAGTGCCACAAGGGTGTAAGAACCAGGGGTGGTGGAGAGTATGACGCCATGTCACCCCCTATATAGCATTTTATGCATTTAGCCTTCTGCCATGAGGGAACATCACCTATGCACGAGGAGTCATAATTGGGCATAACTCCCTCATACGAACTCCGAATGGCGAACCATCAATTGTGTTACCTGCGTCTCAACATCACAAACGTCCCGGTATTCTTAGCTTCTTCAGGTTCCTCCCGTACCCTTCAGAAATACCTAAAATACCCTTTCACAAATGCAACCCGGCCAACACCAATAAGCTCTCGCCCTTTCACACTTAGACTACCTCTTAAGCGCATAGATGTCCCAACGGAGTCACGGTAGCACTTGTCTATGTGCGACCTGTGACATTCTCCCCCACTAATAGTGTCGACGTCCTCGTCGACGTGCCCCACTACACTGTCAACTTCGGAATCACGATAGCACTCACTTATGTGCGATCCGTGACATTCTCCCCCACTGATAATGGCGAAGTCCTTATCGACATGCCCACTGCACTGTTGCATAACAACACCATATAGGAATATCCTTTTCTCTTCGCTCCAAGGACCACAAAGCACCACTGCCTTAACCCTTTTCAACTTCTCTTTCAAAGTTGTATTCCTTTCCCTCTTTTGGGCCGAGACCTTTGTCTCTTGTTGCACTCAACCCTTGAATAATCACATGGCCCGCTGGTCAAGTACTTATGCATTTTCCACATTTAAATAGATGCACCCCGCCCGGGCGTGACTCGAAAGCCAACCGTGTGTCATCTACAGCACCTCCATTTGTTTGTGCTCCTGCACTGCCATACTTCCAAGGCATTCGAGGTTCTCTCCTACTTATCTCGTTGGCACACCTTCACCTCAAGGCGCCTCCACAGCAAAGTTCCACAACACTTAGGCCATCATAATTCACCAAGGTTAGACATCATCCCTACTATGAGTAGAATCACCTGACTACCAACGCCCCAAACTCAGACTCGGCAGAACCACTTCTATAGCATCCACACGGGAACAAGTAAGATGTCAACATCCAAGTTACTCCAACACTGTCTGCCATCAAGTGCAGACATATTCCTTGTCCTTAGAAACCCTGCTCATAAGTGAGACTCCGGGATCCACCTCTTTGGAACACTCCCTCGTTCTGAAAATCTGTTAGCAACATTGTGTCAAACATTGTGCCTTACCCACCCGTTCTCAACAATTGTAAGAGCAACCACTTAAGTGACTTCTTCATTAAAGCCTAGCCCATCAGTGACTTACTCCCTCAATGGAGCCTAGCCCGTCAGCGACTTACTCCCTTCGAAGATTGCACCATTCCGGTCTTGAGCTCCCACAACTCTTCCCTAAACAACGGTCTTGCACCATCCGTTCAACACTCATCACCAACCGACTTCAACACAATCGTTTGTGGCATGCGATGGTTTGAGTATTGCCAATCTTCGGCACTCTCACCAAGCTCCACTGCCATTGTCTTCAATGAACTTCGTGGGTCTCCCCTACTTATCTCGTCGACGCACCCTCACGTCAACGTGCCTCCAAAGCAAAGCTCTACAACACTTTAGGCCTTTGCAATTCACCAAGGTTCAATGTCATCCCTACTACGAGTAGAACCACTTAACCAACACCCAAACTTGAACTTGGTAGAACATACTTCCGTAGCATCCCCAAAGGAACAAGTAAGACATCCTCCCTCAAGTTACTCAATCTTCGGCCTGCCACAAAGTGCGGACGTACTGTGTCCTTAGCCACCATCCTCACAAGAAAGACTCTGGGATCCACCTTTGGAACATTCTAGCATTCCGAATATTAGCTCACAACCTTATGTCAAACATTATGCATCACCCCCACGTTCTCCACAGTTGCAAGACCAACCACTTGAGAGACTTCTTCTTTAAAGCCTAGTCCTTCAGCAACTTACTCCCTCAATGGAGCCTAATTCGTCAGCAACTTACTTCCTTCAAAGACAGCCCCCTTTCGGTCTTCCGCTCTCACAAATCTTCCTGAACAAGGGTCTCGCACTGTCTGCTCAACACTTGTTGCCAACAGAGTTTACCACAACCTTCAATGGTATGTCATGGTTTAAGTGCTAGCCAATCTTCAACACTCTCACCAAACTCGCGCTCCCATCCTCCCCACATCCTGAATTGAACAAGCAACATCACTTCGTCACAAGTCAGAACCCCTGCCTACCCGACTTCTGGGAGCTTGGTGCATGGATTAGAAAACTAGGCAACCGAGCAGCAAAACCAACCATCATCCCACATCTATGTGCGACCCGTGACACATGGTACTATCTCCTATCTTGACCTGAGGCAACTCGATTCACTTTTCCAGGTAAATAATTCCACCACCAATTTGACTATAGTGACCTTTGAGGCAGCTGAATTGGTATTTGGGATTAGATGCTGATTTTGTATTTTGTTTGGTTTTCTTTTAGATACAACTCCTATATGTCCTGATTGTGTGTGCCGCGCACCTCCACCACCAGGCTATTGCTGTGATTGTAATTGTGTTGCACCAATTAAAACTCACATAGATGAGTAAGGGTCGCCATGATATGCATGTACAACCAAATTTGTATGATAATGGAAAAGAGTATATATATATATATATATATATACACACACATGGGGATTATTGTGTCACGTACGTTATAACCAATATGAAGGTGATTATTGTGTATATTTTTCCAACCTCCCTAATCTAAGATTACAAACGTTAGCCAAACACAAGAAATAACAATATTGAGAGAAACAAGAAAACAAATCAAAGCACATTCCATTCTGTTTGAGGGAAATTAGTAGATGTTTGATGGATAATGTTTTGGTTATGTCCCGGCCTTTACAACCCACTATTAACTCCAAGCATGCACTGATGTTATTCTCACCTCAATCACATACGCCCAATTTTTTTTAATGGAATTTGGCCTAATGGACCTTAAGGTACGAAGTTTAAACTCAATATACCAAACACTTTTTTTTTAAAATAGTATAGCAGCCCGGCTTTACTGTTTTGACACATGGTACCTAGACACTAGTATGGATTGCAATGGGTTGAATCGGGGGTAGGTATGCCATTTCCATCCCCATTATGGGGATTCACCAATGTTTTCAAAAGTTGAAACTATTAGGATATGAACCAACGATTATTGCATATTCAATCACTCCCACAGTCCCACTCACATGTGGACCTCTTCCCACCAGTAGAGAACCCAATGTGGAATTTAACTTACATTAGGGGATGAAAATACAGGGATACAAACTTAGGATCTCCTTCTTTAACACCCAGGGACGGACCCACAGTGGGGTCAATGGGGTCAAACAACCCTATGGACTCCAAGAAAGTAAGGTAGAAGGCCCCTTTGAATTGCTATGTGACCCCATGAAAAGCTGGAGAAGAAGTTGCAGAGGTATTGAGGAAGAAGAAGATGAATAGAAATCTGTTCTTTTTTCAAAAGAAGCTGGCCAAAACGGCGTCATTTTGGCCCAGCTTCTAATTTTTTTTTAAAAACCCGGTTACCAAAACGACGTCGTTTTGGTAGCGAATTTTTTTTTAAAACTGCGCTGGCCAAAACGGCGTCGTTTTGGTCCAGCAGCACAGCACCGAATTTTTTTTAAAAGACCTGGCCAAAACGACGTCGTTTTGGTCCAGGTCTTTTTTTTAAAAAAAAGAGGTCAGCTTGTATATGCACAGACCCTCCCCATCTCTCCCGATTTTTCAACTTCAAAACCCCAATTTTCTAAACCCTCAAACCTAAATCCCCAATCTCCACCCCCCACAAACCTTTAACCCTCTCCCCCACCAAGCCTTTAAGCCCCAACTCCTCCATTGCCGCCGCTTCCAAAAGCTTTGCTTCGCTTCCACCACCTCACAATTCAAGGTAAATTCTAACTCTAAACCTAAATAACTTGAATTGAAATTGAATGTATGATTATATTATATTGTTTTGATATATTGGATGTCTTATTTATGAATTTGTTGTGGTTAATTGGTATAAATTTGGTGTTCTCTTTAATTGAATTGAAATTGAATGTATGATTATATTATATTGTTTTGATATATTGGATGTTTTATTTATGAATTTGTTGTGGTTAATTGGTATAAATTTGGTGTTCTCTTTAATTGATTTTACTTATTATTTTGATTAATTTATGTAGAATTATGGAAAGATTTTTTAAGAGGAAGTCATCATTGGGTAGTTCGGATAGTGTGGGTAATTCAAGAACTTCAAGTTCAAGACAAAGTGAGTTAGATGGGGTTTTGGCTAATCTTCAGGCAGACCCGGGACTAAGAATTCGTATGATTGAGTATGATACTAATATTAGAGATGAGGTTCGAAGAGTATATCTACAAAAAGGACTTTGTCAACCTAGAGGTCATTCTTTCCCACAAAGTAATATCTCAGGAATTAATCGACGCTTCATCCCCAATGGTTTGATGAATTTGATTGGTTGGAGTATAGTGTATCTAAAGATGCTGCATTTTGTCTTTATTGCTATCTCTTTAAATCCAATTTTGAGCAAGTGGGTAGTGAAGCCTTCACTGGAGCAGGGTTTAAGAATTGGAAGAAAGGGAGAGAAAGAATGAAGGTGCATGTTGGACCGGTTGGTAGTGTTCATAATAAAGCTAGAGAAACTGCTACAAATTTGATGAATCAAAATACACATATTGAAACGGCTGTGAGCAAACACTCCGAACAAGCTCGTGTGGCATATCGAAGATGCTTAATTGCTTCAATCAAGTGCATTAAGTTTCTATTGAGACAAGGTCTTTCTTTCCGTGGAAATGATGAAAGTGCCACTTCAAGCAATAGGGGAAATTACTTGGAGCTATTGCAATTCCTTGCAGACAATGATGAGAAAGTTAAAGAAGTTGTGTTGGAAAATGCTCCGGGAAATCTCAAGTTAGTAGCTCCAAAGATTCAAAAAGATATTGTCAATGCATGTGTTGGGGAAACACTTGATGTTATCATGAGTGGTTTAAAAGATAGATTATTTTCTATATTGGTGGATGAAGCACGTGATATTTCTGTGAAGGAGCAAATGGCTATGGTGTTGCGTTATGTGGACGACAAAGGGCATGTAATTGAAAGGTTTGTGGGGGTTCAACATGTTACCGACACCACTTCAAGTTCACTAAAGGATGCCATTGACATATTCTTTTCTTCCAATGGTTTGAGCTTTTCTAAGTTACGAGGACAAAGTTATGATGGAGCTAGCAATATGAGAGGTGAGTTGAATGGCCTCAAAACAAAGATTTTGAGAGAACAACCTTGTGCATACTATGTTCATTGCTTTGCTCATCAACTTCAACTAGCACTTGTTGCCGTAGCAAAGAAGAATATTGATATTGCCTCTTTCTTCACAACCACTAATAGTGTGGTTAACCATGTTGGAGCGTCTTGTAAGCGGCGTGATGCACTTAGAGCACAACTTCAAGAAGAGCTTGTGATAGCTTTTAAAAATGATTGTCTTATAACGGGGCGAGGTTTGCATCAAGAAACAAGTCTCAAACGTGCCGGTGACACACGATGGAGCTCACATTACGGTACCATTATTAGCATCATTTCTATGTTTTCATCTGTGATTCATGTGCTTCAAATGATTATTGATGATAATCCCAATGATAGTGCCGGTGAAGCATATAAGATTCAAAGGGAAATGCTTTGTAACACCCCGACCCCAAATTATCCCATGTTTTAATTTATTTAAGTGGAATTGAGAAATTACCCGTGGGATAGGGGTATTTTAGTCATTTTCTTATCCGGAAGGAATTTGGGAATTCCGGTTGTACCGTTGCGTAGAGCACGGTAAGATGAGTTCGTAGACACGTAGTGGGCTCGAATCGGAGTTGTAACGAGAGAGATATGATCAAAAGAAGCTCAGTGGCAAAATCGTAAATATTTGGAAAATGGATTTTTGGTTAAAAGACGGAATTGCCCCCGTCTCTCACACACTCTCTCTCTCCCGCGCGTCGCTCTCTCTCTCCTCTGGTTCGCGACAGCCACCGTGGCCGACCACGTTTTGGCCGGCCGTTCGCTCGTCCGGCCACCAAAGTCGACGGGGCCGGTACCAAAATGACGGGGCCGCCGTCCTCTTCCTACCCCAGCCAGGTCTCGCCGTCAGCCGTCGAGATTTCGCCGGAAAATCGAAGAGAAAAGCTCGGTTTCGCCCGAAACTTCGCCGGCTTCGTTCTCCGTCGTCTGGCCGCCATTTTTGGCGATCAAGGTATGGAAATTCATCCCTTCTGCATGATCTAGCTGACGGTTGGGTTATAAATGTGTTTTATGCAGGTGGAAATTTTGGGGAAATGTTCAATTTATAGGGAAGGCTCTGCTGAAATTTCGGCAGAAAGTGTCGTGCCCTTGATCCTCTATGGTAAATGAGGACGTAGATTTAAGGAGTGAACCCGGCATGGGTGTGATGCTGGGGTCTCCGCAGGGTTCGTCTCGGGTTCCGGGAAATTCAGGACGGGTCCTGTCAGCTTGGTATCAGAGCTTAGGTTCAATTTCTTGTGGACTCCGCACCTTGTGTGCATCTTTAAGTTGTGGGATCATGATGGGTTCCGTCACGAGACGTCATCATTTTGACGCGGAGGACTCTTTGACAGGAATGGATTTAGGGTATTGATGAGTACACTTAAGGGTGTCACGTTCCTAGAAACGTGTCTATCCAAATTGTCGCATCTCAATATCCTATGGAAGGAAATGGAGGAGCTGAAAATATTGAATCCGATGAGATGAAATTGTCAGAGGAAGTTGATGGACAAGTTACAAGGGAATGGAAGAGTTGTGAGTCCGACCAAGGAGGGTCGTGACAAATTAAGTTGAGAAGTAATAGTGTTGGATGAAGTATCACTTCACTCGCGTGGGCTTGAATGCCGCGATTGACAGGAGTGGAACCTCATGTTGCTAATTCTCGATTGTGTGCAGTGAGCACGTTTGAGCAGAAATCTTTCATCGGAATCAGAAATGGGTCATGGTAGAGAGAGGAAGATGATGATTACAATTCGGTAAAAATGATCCTTTCTGACATCCCTCTCAAAGAATCGTGTTGGCAATATTGCTTATCGATTCTAAAGAAAGAAGGAAGATATCAACAAGTCAAAGAGTTTGGATTCTCTTCATGGGAGAGCTGGAAGAGAATCAAATCACAAATGGAAGCATTTAGCTTTCAGAGGAAGATTAAGCATTACAGCAGCTATTAAAGGATATTCCTAGTGGAAGAAAGAGACTTCTCTTCCTCTGCTTGTTTGGATAGAGCTAATGGCTTGGCTGCCAACTTGGTTGTGGAGGATGAAGCATGGGAACCCGAGCAGTAGATGCGGGCCCAATACCCACACCCCTTTAGAGTGGCAGGTATGAAATTTCGGGGACGAAATTTTTATAAGGGGGGTAGTATGTAACACCCCGACCCCAAATTATCCCATGTTTTAATTTATTTAAGTGGAATTGAGAAATTACCCGTGGGATAGGGGTATTTTAGTCATTTTCTTATCCGGAAGGAATTTGGGAATTCCGGTTGTACCGTTGCGTAGAGCACGGTAAGATGAGTTCGTAGACACGTAGTGGGCTCGAATCGGAGTTGTAACGAGAGAGATATGATCAAAAGAAGCTCAGTGGCAAAATCGTAAATATTTGGAAAATGGATTTTTGGTTAAAAGACGGAATTGCCCCCGTCTCTCACACACTCTCTCTCTCCCGCGCGTCGCTCTCTCTCTCCTCTGGTTCGCGACAGCCACCGTGGCCGACCACGTTTTGGCCGGCCGTTCGCTCGTCCGGCCACCAAAGTCGACGGGGCCGGTACCAAAATGACGGGGCCGCCGTCCTCTTCCTACCCCAGCCAGGTCTCGCCGTCAGCCGTCGAGATTTCGCCGGAAAATCGAAGAGAAAAGCTCGGTTTCGCCCGAAACTTCGCCGGCTTCGTTCTCCGTCGTCTGGCCGCCATTTTTGGCGATCAAGGTATGGAAATTCATCCCTTCTGCATGATCTAGCTGACGGTTGGGTTATAAATGTGTTTTATGCAGGTGGAAATTTTGGGGAAATGTTCAATTTATAGGGAAGGCTCTGCTGAAATTTCGGCAGAAAGTGTCGTGCCCTTGATCCTCTATGGTAAATGAGGACGTAGATTTAAGGAGTGAACCCGGCATGGGTGTGATGCTGGGGTCTCCGCAGGGTTCGTCTCGGGTTCCGGGAAATTCGGGACGGGTCCTGTCATGCTTACTTTTCAGTTTGTGTTTCACCTATTCTTAATGAAAGCTATATTGGGACTCACAAATGATTTTGCTGAAATCATGCAAGGAAAAGCTACATTGGAGGAGGAATAATGGGTTTGATGCATTGGTTGAAGAGGTGTCTTCATTTTGTGACAAACATCATATTGATGTTCCTAACATGGATGATGCCTTCGTACTTCCAGGGAGGTCAAGGCGTAATGCTCCAATAAAGACAAATCGTCATCATTATCATGTGGAGCTCTTTATTTATGTCATTGATGAGCAACTTACGGAGTTAGATGATCGTTTTAATGAGGTAAATACTGAGTTGCTTATTTGTTTGGCATGTTTGAGTCCGAATGATTCATTTGTAGCTTTTGATAAACAAAAGCTACTTCGTCTTGCTCAATTTTATCCTCAAGACTTTTCAGATGGAGATCTTTTGGCACTTGAAGATCAACTTGAACTTTATATTCATTATGTGTGTTCAAGTAGTGATTTCTTTGACTTGCAAGGGATTGGTAATCTTGCAAAAAAAATGGTGGAGACAAGGATGCATCGAGCATTCAATTATGTGTATTTGCTTATTACATTGGCTCTAGTTTTACCGGTTGCTACTGCTTCAGTTGAGAGGGCATTTTCCGTCATGAATATTATCAAAGGTCTACTTCGAAACAAAATGGGAGATCAATGGTTGAGTGATAGCTTACTTGTTTATGTTGAGAAGGATGTTTTTGATTGTATTGAAAATGAAGCTATAATGCTTCGTTTTCAAAATATGAAACCTCGTCGTGGCCAATTGTAATTTGTAATGTTGTTTTTTACATGAATTATGAATGAATGTACTGTAATTTCATTTTCAATGTTATATTAATCTTTAAAAAAAAATTGAACTTTTACACTATGACCCTACGACATCAAATTCCTGGGTCCGTCCCTGCTAACACCATGATAAGTTTGTTGGTTTACACTATTCCTAAAAGCTTAAATTGTTAGAATGTGAGCCCACAGTTATTTTATATTCTAACACCAAGGACATGGTTACATATGCATATGCAAACTCCTACACATGTATGCATAGCTGGTAAGTGGGCAATTAAGGCATTTTTATGTAGTAAACAATGATAAAACAATAAATTGAAGCAATACAATTGAAATATCAGTAAGACACAGTAAGACACAATACAAAACTAACACTGGTAGCACTACGAAGAGTAGAAGGCTACAGTATGATACATAAGCAGGACCTGTACACTTCAAAATACAATTGCAATATCAGTAAGACACAAGACAAAACTAACACTGGTAGCACTACGAAGAGTAGAAGGCTACAGTATGATACATAAGCAGGACCTGTACACTTCAAAATACAAACATAAAGTACAACAGGGAGTTGGGCGCCGCCTAGGCCGCCTAGCCTCCACCTAGGCCGCCTAGTCCAGCCCAGGCCGCCTAGCCCCAGCCCAGGCCGCCTAGCCCCAGCCTAGCGCCCGCCTTGGCCGCCTAGCGCCCGCCTAGGCCGCCTGGGTTGGTCTGGGCTGGCGTTTTGCCGTTGAGGCGTCGATGCTTAAGGTGGCACTGAGGCGCTGCATGAAGAAAGACCGAGAGAGAGAGAGATGAAGTCGAAACAGCGAGAGGAAGGAATGTAGGCTACGCAGGGAAGAAGACATCTAACCTAATTTTTAATATAACTAACGGGTTGGGTTTTGTAAAATGGGCTTAAACATTGTATTAAAATGGCCCTATATTAAAAAACGCGGTAGAGAGGCTCAAATATAAGCTGTTTGATTCATATTTAAAACTCAGACAAATCCCAAATAAGAGCAAGTTTATTTGGCTTATAACTGATGGCTTTGGACTCGAGAAGCAGAGCATCAGCAGCTTCCGGAGAAACTGAATTGGACATCTCTGGATGTGCTATTTTCCTCAGCTTTACCACCACCATCTTCTGCGTCACTCTTGTTTCCAGGTTTGACAACAGTCTCAAATGCTTTCCCAAAATGTTTGTTCTTGCAGTGCTCCAAAAATAGCTTATCCAAGATGTCCTGCATTTTCGTTATCCTCAATTGAAACCTCCTGGAAAGTTCTTTAATTGTAGAAGCTTTGTTGCCGATTACCAGCAAAAATTTCAGACTGTAAAATATAGATTCTCAATCATACACCATGATTGTAATAAGTTGCTATGCATTATTGTCTCATTTGTTAAGCCTTTGGAGTTCATGTGTTGTTGGCTAACATGGTCTTAGATCCTTCTTTGTAAATGGTCTTGAGTTTGATCCTCGTTTTCCACTTTTTTGTTGGTTTGCAGGGTGCACGCACGGTGGGGGTGCACATATATGTTTGCCTCGCTTTGTATCCATTCTGAAACTAGAACCTGCATTAAGAAGATCAATTGGTGCCACTATTGCGCTCAACTTTTCTCCAATGCTTAAATATGAATATTCACCTTCCATCAGTCCTAACAACCATACTTCTCCTGGATGGCTCTCATCAATTTTGGTGTTATACTATCACCATGTTATCTTTAATTTTGCCATGGTTCATATAAGTCAACTTTTTAATTCTGGAATTTCCTGAATTGCACCTAGAATCAGCATCACTGCTACATGTATCACTGTCACCGAGGTCATCATCAACTGCTCCAGAAGAGTCTTCAGTATCTGATTGGGATTCCTCCGCTTTCTTTTCAGAAGAATTAATACGCACACGATATGTGGATGATGAAAGCAAATGATTCCAGAGACAAGCGGAGACAAATAAACATATGCTCAACATATGTTATTTAGGAATGCACGATAATGCCAACAAACAAAACAGAAGAAACTATTTCCTTTAACATTCAATCACTACATGTTATATGTAAAACCTAAAATTTCTGATTTTGGTCCTTAAGTATGGAAAATGAATCTATCCAACTGCGGCTCTGCCTCAAGGTGGAAACAGATTATTCGGGGTAATGACAGATCTTAAATGTCTATTGCCAATAAGGCTTTGAATGCTCATGGTTTTGGGTGATGAACACATATTATTGAGCATCTATAGCACTTAACTTGCAGAATACAGATGTGTTGATAATTAAATACATTTACTAGAGAGGAAACGGATCTTAATAAAATCAATTGCAACTATGGGAGTTAAATTAGAAGACCTTGCTAAGGGCATCCCTTTGCCTTGCACCTTGCTTTGAACCAAAACCAGCGGCAACCAGTACTTGACGCAGTATTTCTGTCCATGTTAAAGGGTTTAGCAATCTCTTCCAGAATTCCTGAGTGGGTTCTTGATTTTCAATCAGCCAAATCATTTGATAAAGACGCTTAGTTATTGAGTACTTCCATTCAATTTTTTCATAAAAATATGAAAATAACAATTGATTTAAGAGATGAGCAAAAAAGTCTCCAATGTTTGACAACAATAAGTATCTTTAATCAACTATACCACAAAAAGCAAGTGGATCTTCTAAAAGTGCATATGGATGGACTACTAATAGTCTGATTATGATTTTGTTCAGAAAATTTCTTGTTGCCTAAGCGTATGTATCGGACATTCTGGAATGGACACCTTTTCTGCAGTCACACCAAACTTCTGATTATTAGCTTTTAACTTCCCTGTAACGAAACATGTCAACAGTCTTATAGATTGCATTCTCTTTGTTCTTAAGTGAAATGAACTGTAAATGTCTGTGATCTGCACGATTATATATTGTTTGTTCATAACTCACTGAGTGAGCAAACGCAAGAAAATTGCATGATTTGCTCAAATGAGGGATATGGATCCACAGCCAAGCTCGGCTTCAACATTAGATAGAAGAAGCTTCAGAAGGGCAACGAGAATTTTTCCAAGTAGCAAGGAATCCTAAAAGGCATTTTACGAAACAAAGATGTTGAGCAAGTGTAAGACACAATAAATCTGATGTTGGATCAAAGATAAGATATAACCTTGTTCTGAAATGCTTGGGCAAACTCATCAATAGTGAAGGAGCTTATATCTACCATAACGGCATAAGTATAAAGGAAATGGTAGCTCAATTCCAATGATCCCCGACGTCAAATGCTATAGCATTTAGTAGTTTTGTGATGTTATATACCAATTTTAATTTCTACCCCTAATTTGGACAATTGTAATTTTGAAACCATCGAACATTTGTGGGTTTAATAAGTAAAATGAGAGCCTTTCCGTATGAAGTGTTGTAGAAGTTAATTAACCGACAAAAAAAGTAATAGACAAGTTTTATTTGGACAGGAGTTCTAGTTCACCCATGATAGGGAGCATCTTTACTCATCACTTTAACCTAAGGTGTATGCTCACCACTCTTCTCAACATTTAACACGTGTCCATAAGTGTGGGAGCAAATATTTTCGTCTCCAATCGTAGCGCGCCACGTGGAAAAGAAGATTATCTCTTTTAATTAATTAATTGAACCAGTTTATCTGACCAATTAATTAATTGGGATAAATATCTTAATTAACATGATATTATCTTTATTTAATAAGATAATATCATTAATTAAGATATTATCCTAATAAAGAGAAGATAATGTCATTATCTCAGATATTATCTCCATAAAAAGAGATAATGTCATTTAATTAAGATATTATCTCCATAAAAGGAGATAATATCATTAAATCAGATATTATCTCAGTCCGACTTGATCCCTACGAATTTGGGTAGAGAATAAACTCAGCATATTCTCTACGAAACCCTAACCCCGAGGCTCCTATAAATAGATGACCTCATTCATCATTCAAGGTACATCTAAACCTACTCCTAATACCTGAGAAAAATACCCCAAGCTCTCTCTCCCTCTCCACTCTCCACTCTCTATATTTTCTCCACACGGCTCCGGCCGCCCAGTTCACACCATACATAAACTCCGTACCCTTTGCTTAGCTATTGTTTTCTTACAAACACTTGAACTAACTTAGGCATCGGAGGGCCTTTGGCCAACACCCCCCGGGTGTGGTCTATTTACTCCAATCTTTTTTACAGGAATCGAGGAAGAGAGAGAAGGAAGATCGAAGGTTGAAGGATCTAGAAGCGAATATTCTCCCGTGAGATTATTTGCACAAACATTTGGTGCTTTCATTGAGAGCACGAGTTATACTCAAAGCGTGCTCAAGGAATCTGTTCCTCCTATTTTCCAATCCACCGAAGCCTTCCAAACAACCATGGTTGGAAGCAAGCGCATGAGGAGTAAAACCGCCGCAATGACTAAATCCACGACGGCCCAAAGCCACTCCACCCATGATCCCGCGATCGACATGGTGGCACCACCACCTCTCACCACCGTGCCACCTACCGGACCCGAGACCGAATCTAGCAACCTCCGTGGCACCGCCACCGAGCATGGTGGAACCTCCCATCAAGGTGGGCTCGTTACCACCACCGACTTAGGCCTGGTCTTGGAGCAACTTCAAGCATTCCCTCCATTGCCTCCACGCTCGACGCACGCTCTCGGGTACACCTCCAATGAAACCCTAGCCCGTGTGCAATTGGGCTCCACACGCTTCTCTCCTCCCGATCCACAAAGTCAAGCAGATCTCAACATGAGAGTTGACCAGCTAGCTCAGAGAATGGACGACCAAAACCCTCTTATGAGGCAGCTCCTCAATCAAATAAGCGTGGCTTAAAATATTGGCCTTGGACAACCAGGCGAAGAGAGAAGAATAGACCAACACACCGGTGGGCAGCTCAACGGGCACCAAGCAGGTCGAGCAGGAGTGAGCAGACAAGGGGATGCACAACCACGTGATCAGCTTGCCGACATGTCGCGAACATCTGCAAGCCACACACAAAGCAACGTGCGAGAAAGGCTCGGCCCACGACTTGACGTCCGTGCTCGCCTGGGCCCGTAGGGAAATGTACTTCAAAGGCTAGGCTCACAGGGAGGTCAAACTGGCAATCGCCGCAATGAGGATCGTGAAGAGAGGCGCTCCGCTGCCCACTCGCAGAGAAATATTCACGAAAGGCTAGGCCCCCAGGGAGGTCAACCCGGTAACCCTCGCAATGAGGATCGTGAAGAGAGGCACTCCACTGCCCGCTCTCGTCGTCAAGCTGCAGAAAATCCCTCGCAAACGCAGTCCACCAGCACGCCTCCTAGGCAGCGCCGACGAGAGGACCGACCCTCGCGAACCAACGAGGAGGTCAATCAGCGTCGCCCGAATCACAAAAGTCGCCAACGTGATCGACCAGCAATGTGCGCGGAAGACATTGAGAAGCTTGTGAATGACCGACTTCGAGACTTGAAGACTGGTGGGAACCTCAAGGATGCACTACGTAAGGAGATGGACCAGGCGATCTCTACTCCTTTCACCCCTGAAATCGAGCAGGCTGCTTCCCCCGAAGCGATTCTCAACGCCTTTGTTTACACATTTCAAGGGAGATTCCGATCCCGAGAGCCACCTAAAACACTTCAAAAGTGTCATGATCCTCCACAAGGCCGACGACGCACTGATGTGCAAGGCGTTTGCAATGACCTTGCGAGGAGCAGCTCAGGACTGGTTCCACACCCTGCCATCCGGGTCGATCAACAGTTTCAAGGAGCTTGCCTATGTCTTCACTAAAGAATACACTTCTTATCGGACGATCAAGAAGAACCCAGATCATCTGTTCAACCTGCGCAAGAAGCCCGACGAATCCATTCGAGATTACATCAAGAGGTTCAAAGCAGAAAAGGCCAACATCGTAGGGTGTGACGACCAAATCGCATCATCTGCCTTCAAGAAAGGTCTTCCAGCAGAACACGAGTTATACCGCGAGCTGACTATCACTCCCAGCCAGACTTTAGCAGAGGTCTTCGCGACCGCAGAACGCTACGCGCTCTGGGATGACGATCGAATTGCCACGAAGAAGTCCACTGAGCAGGGAGATCGGCCGACCAAGCGGGCGGGCCAAAGAAGCGTTGGATTTAGCAACAAGAATAAGGACAAGCGCAGGTCACACCCACAAGAGGACGCTAAGGCAGGAGAGAACTACACCAAGTTCACCATCTCTATACATCAAATCCTAGCCCAAGTGAAAAACAAACCTTGGGTAAGAAGACCGCCACCCTTGAAAATGAGATCCAGACAGGAGGGATACTAGCAAATATTGTGCCTTCCATGGGACGCATGGACACACAACGAACAACTGCTTCGCTTGGAAAGCACACCTCGAAGAACTCGTGAGGGAAGGTCACTGCACGGAATTCATCGCTAAGCAGGCCATCCAGCAGATAGAGGACCGCGACACCGCCAAGGAGCCGCCCCAAAAGGTCATAAGGATTAACACAATCCTAGCCGACTACGAGGAATCTGGGCTGACCAGCAAGGAAAAAAAAAAGGAAGATCAAACAAGCCACTATGATCTCCCAAGTCTCAACCGACCTTCCGCTAGCAGAAGACGATCCTGTAATCAGCTTCCAAAAGAAAGATCTAATTGGCCTTGATCTACCACACAATGACGCTCTTGTCATCAGCATTCAAATCGCTCAGGCCATGGTCGACCGAATCCATGCAGACGAGGGCAGTGCAGCCAACATCCTACAATTGACAGTTATCCAACAGATGGGCTTAGAGGCAAAGATCAATAAATCAGCCAAGTCGCTGACTGGCTTCAATGGAGCAACAACGTTACCGTAGGCACGATAGAGCTCGACGTCTACGCCCCACCTGTAATCAGCTCGCAAACGTTCATGGTCATTGATGAAGTCTCACCCTACAATGGCATTCTAGGCAGACCATGGATCAGCAAGATCAACGCCATCACCTCCGCCACGCATCAGAAGATTCGCTACCCAATTCCTTGGGGTGGGATCAGCCAAATCAACAGCGATCAGGCAATGGCGAGGAAATGCTCAGCTCAAGGGCTGAAGAAAGGCAAGCAAACACAGTTCCTTCCCTGTGAATCAAGCAGATCTAAAGGGAGTAGAACAAGCAGAGGAGAAAGCAGATCTCGTTCCTGACGGCCGAGCAGGCCAAAAAGGAAAGGGAATAACTACTCCCCAATAGCAATCAAAGAATCAGGACCAAGTCGAGGGAATCCGTCCGGAGGTCTATCCTGAAGAAGGATGGAAACCCGAGGAGGACATTGAGCTAGTACCCCTTGATCCTGACAAGCCAGAGAGAACAGCGCGGATCGCGACAAAGGCAGAGCTTGTAGCCTTCCTCCAGAACAACAAAGACGTATTTGCATGGTCACTATCTGACATGCCTGGCATCGATCCCCAGATCATCTGCCATCGCCTGCACGTCAACCCAGCCATCAAGCCTGTAGTGCAGAAGAGACGCAACTTCGCCCCCGAGCGGGTCGCCATCATTGAAGCTGAGATCGACAAGCTTCTGGCTGCCGGTTTCATTGAAGAAGTCTCATACACAGAATGGCTGGCGAACGCTGTTCTAGTAGCAAAGAAAGATAAAGGCCTGTGGAGAGTGTGCGTCGACTATACTGACCTCAACAAGGCATGTCTTAAAGATAACTTTCCACTGCCGAGAATTGATCAGCTCGTCGATTCAACTTCCGGCAATCAACTGCTAAGCTTCATGGACGCCTACTCCGGCTACAACCAGATCATGATGCATGAAGACGACAAGGCAAAGACCTCTTTCATGATCGAAAGAGGTACCTACTCCTACAAGGTCATGCCCTTTGGGCTGAAGAATGCCGGGGCAACCTACCAAAGGCTGGTGAACAAAATTTTCAAGGAGCAAATCGGCAAGACTATGGAGGTCTACGTAGACACATGCTAGTCAAAGCTCCCGAACGAGCAGACCACATCGAGAATCTTGCCGAGGCATTCAGCCTACTCCGAAAATACAACATGAAGTTGAACCCGAGCAAATGCACATTTGGAGTCTCGTCCGGCCGATTCCTTGGATACTTAGTCACCCAAAGAGGAATTGAGGCACATCCAAATCAAATCAAGGCTATACTCAACATGAAGTCACCTGCCACAACAGGAGATACAAAGTCTAACGGGTAGGGCGGCAGCTCTCAACCGATTCCTCTCTAGATCTACCGACAAATGCAGGCCATTTTTCAAAGCCTTGAAGAAGGGACACAAAGACAAGTGGGATGACGAGTGTGAAGTAGCTTTTCAAAACTTGAAAACTTACCTCACTTCACCTCCATTGCTCTCAAAGCCGATACCAGGCGAAGACTTGTACATCTACCTAGCGGTGTCCGACTTAGCTGTCAGCTCAGCTCTCATCCGAGAAGAGTTGGGGGCACAACATCCGGTATTCTACACTTCAAAAGCTCTCCTCGATGCAGAGACTCGCTATCCGAAAATGGAGAAGCTCATTTTTTCGCTTGTGGTTTCTGCGAGAAAGTTAAGGCCCTACTATCAAGCACACCGGATAATTGTCATAACAGAATTTCCTTTGAGATCGATCCTTCACAGCCCCGACGCTTCTCAGCGACTCATGAAATGGGCTATCGAACTCAGTCAATACGACCTCCTCTATCGGCCGAAGACTGCTATAAAAGCTCAAGCTTTACCAGATTTTGTTGTAGAGTTTACTCCGACAGCCGAAGAAGAGAAGATGGTCACGAAAAGCAAGGAAAAAGCGGACGACACCTCCCCCACAGATTCGAACCTAACTAACGACATGTGGCAGTTGCATGTAGACGGAGCATCAAATCACAAAGGAGCGGGAGTAGGAGTTGTCATAATCACCCCAGACGGAACCTTGACGGAGCATCGATCCCTAATCTGCCTGCCGAAGTTTACCATCCGCGAAACAGTCCATGACCATTCATGCAATGGGCCATCGACTTAGTGGATCCCTTGCCACCGGCGCCCGCCAAGAAAGAAATGATGATCGTCGCCACCGACTGCTTTACTAAATGGATTGAGGCCGAAGCTCTATCATCTACTAAAGAAGCCGATGTGGAGCGATTCATCTGAAGAAATATCATCTGCCGGTTTGGCTGCCTACAATTGTTGGTCACTGACAATGGCTTACAGTTCATTGGCAAGCAGATCACCGCCTTCTTTGCGAAATACAAGATCAAGCAACACCTGTCCACTTCAAGGTATCCACAAGGAAATAGGCAGGCCGAGGCATCCAACAAAGTCATATTAGACTGCTTGAAGAAAAGGCTAGAAGGCGCCGAAGGGAAATGGGTGGACGAACTCCCCGGAGTACTATGGGCTTATCGCACCACCAAACGAAGGTCGACTGGCGAAACCCCATTTTCCCTTGCTTATGGAACTGAAGCGATCATTCCTCCTCACGTCACTGTCCCCTCTATAGGCATTGAAGTCGGCAGTATAGAGCAGAACTCCGAGCAGATGAGACTCAACCTTGACTTACTTGAAGGCGAGCGCGAGAAAGCCATTGTCCGAGTCGCCTCCTATCAACAGCGGTTGAAGTCCTACTACGACAAAAGAGCCAAGATAAGACAGTTTCAACCTGGCGACCTTGTGCTAAGAAAGGCCTTCATCACTGCACAAAGACAAGGGTCTAAGAAAATAAAACCCAATTGGGAAGGCCCTTATGTGATCAGCTGGTCCGGGGGCAGAGGAAGCTACACGTTGGACACCATGGATGGGAAGGAAATACCATGTCAATGGAATGCCTACCATCTCCGAAAGTATTATCCGTAATGCTTCCTCCTGACTGCCAGAAGTTCCAAGTTTTTGTACTCAGTAATTTCCATTTTCGAATAAAGGACTGTAATCTTATGAATATCAATATAAGTTCAGTTTCTCATTCCAAAATGTCTCATCTACCCACAAAACACAACTGTTGTCCATAAGCAGCGTCCTTCGGGAGACACAGGGCAACGACCAGAAGCGTCCTTCGGGAGACGCAGCCCATAAAAAGTGTCCTAAGGGAGACGCAGGGTGCGCCAGGAATTTCCTAAGGGAGGTATCTAGGTTCCTACCGTTCCCTAAGTGGGGCAGGATAGTCATATAGTTGTCCATAAGGAGCATCCTAAGGGAGACGCAGGGCGACGACTAAAAGCGTCCGTTTGGAGGCGCAGCACACTAAAAAAGCGTCCTACGGGAGACGCAGGGTGCGCCAGGAATTTCTTAAAAGGACCCCATACCTCCTGCGGGAAGTATCCAGATTCCTATCCGTTTCCTAAGGGAGGCAGGATAGTCATACAATTGCCCATAAGGAGTGTCCTAAGGGAGACGCAGGGCGACGACTAAAAGCGTCCGTTTGGAGACGCAGCCCACTAAAAGAACGTCCTAAGGGAGACGCAGGGTGCGCCAGGAATTTCCTATCTGTTTCCTAAGGGAGGCAGGATAGTCACACAGTTGCCCATAAGCAGCGTCCTTCGGGAGACGCAGGGCGACGACCAAGCCATCCTAAGGGATATGCAGAACACGCCCGGAGCCCCTTAAGGGGGCCCTGGCACTCGCCAACTTCCTAAGGGGAGCCATCCTAAGAGATATGCAGAACACGTCCGAAGTCCTTCAAGGGGAACCCTGGTACTCATGAATCTCCAAAGGGAGATGTGCAATCAAGACACTAGCTGGTTACTCAAGCAGTTTACAAGACAATATGCAAATTGAAGTTGAAAAATAAAGACTGAAATTTTCATAGCAAAGCGACCAACCGACCAAGTTCAGACAAAAAGAAGATGGTCAAACAAGACTAATTATTCTAAACAAAAGCATACTACAAAAGCTAAAAAGAAATAAAGGAGTCTTCGTCTACTCCGAAACACCAGCAGGAGATCCCTGATCTATAGCCTCTTCAGCTTTCGCCTGATCAGCCACGCATTCAGCAGCTCCACATGCCTGATCTATGACGTCTGCCACCACCCCATCGGCTGCATCCTCCTCTGCTCCATCCTCCTCAGCTACCGCCTCTTTAGCCACCTGCTCTTCAGCTCCTTCGGTATTCACAGCATTAGCCTCCTCACTTTTCGCAGGGGGCAAGTCTGGATAGAGCATCTCGATGTCTTCATCTCCAATGGCGTAGAAGGGATCATATCCTTTTGTGCAGTCCAGGTAGCCCAACTTGTACGCGTCCATGGCAACTTCGGACTTGGATTCCTCAGCAGACTCATGATAGGCGTGAAATCTAGCTAAAAGCTTGTCATAGCTATAAGAGATGTCGGCATTCTTGCACTCAAGGTGGAAGTAAGCATCTTTTCAACTTGCCAAGTCAGCAGCAGAGGAGTTAAGCTCGGAATCCTTCTCAGCAAGGGAACTCTTCAACTCAGATATCATCGCCCGCAAATCAGACGTCTTCTTCTCATAACGGGTCTGCTCGGCAGAAAGTTTGCTAACTAACTCGGCATTCTTCTTCTCCAACTCGCTGAGCTGAGCAGACGAGTTCTGAATGGTCTCAGCAGCAAAAACTACTCCTTTTTGAAGCAGATGAAGTGTCGCTTCCCTTTGTTTTTCCAAGGAAAGACTTGAGAAAGCACCAAGATCGCCAGCCTGACGGATTTGGTCAACCAGCTCAGCACAAAAGGATGGACTTGATAGAAATTGCGTCTTTAGCAGATCAGACACGCCTGCATCCCCTGCAGGGCTAGATTTGTCCACCTTTGGATCAGCCGCTGACGTTACAGAAGAACCTTTCGTCCGGGCAGATGACTCTCTTGCTTTCCTAGCCTCCGCCAACCTCACTTCCAAAGGAATTTGCGACGTCGAATCAACTCCACGCTTGACTGCTCGTGACTCAATAGTTGGATCATGACGGTTGGATAGATGAGCAGACCTCCCACATCGACCTCCACTCTTCGACTGGTGCGAACGACCCGAACTTCGGGGAGGAACATCCGCATCTCTTTGTCTTTCAACAGGTGAGCTAGATCGCGCACGGACCACTTCGCGGAGCAGATCATGATCTCCAAGCTCGTCAGCAAGAGGCTTAGGGGGAGCATCCCTTATGTTGCGCATACCGCCAATCTTCTTGTTGTCTGCGCCAACAAGATGCTTGACCCTGGCAGATAAGGAGGGAACAACTCCTACTGGGATCTTCTCTGCACAAGGGAGCTTTGGCTTCTTCCTCAATGGAGACACGTTCCTCGCCCGTGAAAAGGTAGCTTGAGTTCTCGGAAACTTGACTTCAGCCTTCCTTTTTTATAGGGGTTCAGCAGAGCATGCCTCTTGTTCAGCAGACAGATCATCAAGATCTGGACCATTCTGCTTCCATCTTTCGACATCCTCGGCAGGGGGCAGACCACCGTCTTCCTCCCGATACTCACTCAACAGCCAACGCCACTCACGAAACTTTTGGGGGATGTTCAAAGCGCAGCGGACCTTAGCCATGTTAGGCTCAAGCTCCAATTTCTTGCTGATGTCGTTCGCTACAAGCAGAAGACAGAAGTTAGTCAGCTACGCTTCAAGAAATTCAAACAAAAAGATAGCAGATAGAAGAAAAAACTGCAAAAAGACGTACAATTGCAATAGGTGAGGGGAACAAGGGGACCATCACCAACATCGCCTTCCCACCGTCTGCTGACTTCCAACACATCATCATGCCACACGTGATCTCCTTGACTAAGACTGTCAAACAGCTTGACATTGCAGGTGCTAAGTTGGGCATACTCCTTGAAGCACCTCACTTCAAAAAAATAGAAGAACTCTCGTACTGTCAGCTCCAACATGAAGAAATGGCTCAGGTTTTCAAAACACATGATCGCCCGGTAGACGTTTGGAGTACACTGACTTGGAGCACACTCCATGGCGCAGAATACCTCCTTGAAAAGATTTGACAGTGGGAATTTGAAGCCCAAGGAGAAGTAAAAGGGACGGAAGGTGATGATTCTGGCATTCGGATCATTCGCATCCATGCAAGGCATGTTGTCAGTCAAAGGCTTCGCCAGCTTGACATGCACGTCGTCAGGAATTGCAGAGGCATAAGCAGCCCGCCACCTCTGGAATTGATCTTCATTTGTAACGCGGTGCAGGTTGGCCACAAACCTCTTCTTGTACACCTTAGAACCTCCCCACAAATACAAAGGCACCTGAGAGCTTGAAGCCTTGCTACCGTCTCTGGAAGACATGGTTGGTCAAACTGAAAAAAAAAAAAAAAAAAAAAAAAAAAAAAAAAAAAAAAAAAAATTTACAAGTTAGTTAATTAGAAACCAATATAATATATAAAAAGGGGCTGACAGCAACCAAAAAAAAACAAAAAAAAGAAAAAGGAAGTGGCCCAGCTCGAGCAGCCCAGCGCGCATGGCCCAGCTCCGTCCCAGCTCTGTCGCAGCCCACCTAGCAGCTCGAGCCCATCTCGCCAGCTTGAATCCGGCCCAGGTCCAAGCCCGACACACCTCTAGCCCTGCGCGCAAGGCCTGCCTGCCTAGCGCAGGCCCACGTCGAGCAGCCCAGCGCCTCTCTGCTCCTGCTCCAAAGCCCAGCGCCTCCTTTTTTCTCTCTTTGAGCCCAATGTGCGCAAGCCCAGCTCAGATCAGCTCCAAGCCCTGGCGCATGCTGGCCTGGTCAGCTCCCCTCCGTCTTCAATCAAGCCTCCAACCCTTGTCCATAGGCTTGCGAAAATTCATCAACCATGAGGCTGCGACCATAGCTAGGAGTGCACAGCTGGACCACCTCCTTGCTACCAAAAATAAGAAAAAAAATATATATGTGCATATATATTTTCACGAGCTCGACTTACTCTGGATGCACGACAATTCCTCTCTTCAACAAAGCAGTACAAATTCTCTAAGATCTTTCTCAAGTTAGAAGGTAGAGAAGTTAAGTTTGTGATGTGAGAAAGAGTGAAGAAAAGCCCTGTATTTATACAAGTTGGACAACCCAGGTCAAGGAGGGATCGTAAGCTCATTCCTATTGGGAATCCAACTCCAACAACAGTCAAAAGCCTACACCAATTGGAAATCTGATCTGCAAAGGAGTCCAACTCACATAATAAAGCCCAAACACAGTTGGAGAGCCCCAAAAAAAAATATAAAAATAATTTCATCTCCTACATGCCACACAAGTGCCATGCAGAAGCTGGGGGGCATTTGTGGGAGCAGATATTTTCGTCTCCAATCGCAGCGCGCCACGTGGAAAAGAAGATTATCTCTTCTAATTAATTAATTGAACCAGTTTATCTGGCCAATTAATTAATTGGGATAAATATCTTAATTAACATGATATTATCTTTATTTAATAAGATAATATCATTAATTAAGATATTATCCTAATAAAGAGAAGATAATGTCATTATCTCAGATATTATCTCCATAAAAAGAGATAATGTCATTTAATTAAGATATTACCTCCATAAAAGGAGATAATATCATTAAATTAGATATTATCTCAGTCCGACTCGATTCCTACGAATTTGGGTAGAGAATAAACTCCGGCCACCACACACGGCTCCGGCTGCTCGGTTCACACCATACATAAACTCCGTACCCTTTGTTTAGCTATTGTTTTCCTACAAACACTTGAACTAACTTAGGCATCGGAGGGCCTTTGGCCAACACCCCCCGGGTGTGGTCTATTTACTCCAATCTTTTTTACAGGAATCGAGGAAGAGAGAGAAGGAAGATCGAAGGTTGAAGGATCTAGAAGCGAATATTCTCCCGTGAGATTATTTGCACAAACAATAAGCATAACCATGATTACATAAATCAAAGTAAAAAGTTAACAATAGTTATACCTATAGACACATGTCAAATATTAAGAAGAGTGATGAGCAAAAATATTTTTGTGATATTATACATAAATTTCTGATTATGGCATTAATTATTAGAATGATTATTTCATCTCATGAGATCTACTTGTTTTTATATGAGAAAACCCATGGACTTGGGCTTGATTGCTTATCAACTTCTTAGATGCACGAAACTTGCTTCCTCGTTTCACCAAAAGTTCTGTCCTCGTTTTAACAAGACGTGCCCTACGTGTTTGTTTTTAAGGTTGTAGTTGACAACCTTATCATGGGGTGTGGAAATTTTGATTTGGTCAAGTCAATAACAAAGGAATCGTTGATGTAGTTAAATATCAAGTTTCCAACGATTATGAGTTGTGAGTGATTAGTTTGCCAATGATTGTGTGTTATGTTATGTTTTTGATATTATTAATTTTTTATACATCAGTTGAAAGTCAACTATATTGGGTTTTGTCAAATAACCGACTGTCTTTATCTATATATATAAAGCAAAATGCAGAGAATGGTGAAACATTCAAAATACCAGAAAATGTCATTGGTTAATTCAAACATTAAGAATTGAAATTATTAATTAAATGAGGATGATATGGTAAATTCACATTTTTTTCATATTAAAAAAATTAAAATTAAAAACAAAATCAGATAATATATTCTACTTTTATGGAACATAACTACCCATGTTATCTTTTCTTAATTCTAAAAATGAAATAAAAAAGAAAAAAAATAACCAATTGGCACATGCGTGAGCATGCGCCAAGGGGCTAGTTTAAATAAAACAAAAAAAATAATGTATAATTCTTTTCTATCAGTCTTTGAATTTAAAAAAAAAATCAATGAAGAAAATAAAGGACACTGCTGGACTAAGAACTAGTTAATAATAAATAAGAATGTATGAATGTGAGTATTTGTTGTCCCACATTTTTCGGAATATATTGCATAAACAAATTCTTTAAAAATTTATACGGCATCTCTCGTCCAAATTAAGCCTTAAATTTTAGAATTAGAGGCTACAGATAAGGTGTTCCCACGTCTGCTAAACTTATGAAGTCAAACAACTCTTAGGAACGGCAGTCGTCTACCTGGGTGCAACATAGATGCTTATCTATGTAATGGTATTCTTTGAAAACAATTGTGTCATGTTTCACAAGTATATACAGGATGGGGCTGATATTCAGGCAATTGCTCATTGCACTGCTTGGTGGCTTTCATCTTCTAGTGCTCCCAGTTCATGCCTAGACTCAAAAAGGTATGAACATCTCCAATCTCTGGTAAGAAAATAATGTTAATTAAATTTTTTTTTGAAAGAACCTATTTTGTTTTTTCATTAAAGTTGGATGCTAGATTGAACTTTGATTATGTACATTATTTTTTATGGGGTTTTAACCGCAATGGTCCCAAATTTCATTTAGGTCCTCCATTTCATTTTTTGTGGTTTATGTAGTCCTTATGCTTTCATTTGTGTGGCAATTTCGTTTTTCCATCAATTCTGTTCACTTTCGTTAATGTTAGGGGTAAATCAAACATTTTCTGGTATATATGGTAAATCAAATATTTCTCCACTCCACATCAGGTAAAAAAAGAGGAAAATTGTAACACCCCGACTCCAAATTTAATTCATGTTTTAATTTACTTAAGTGAAATTACGGATTTACCCTTGGGGTAGGGGTATTTTGGTCATTTTCTTATTTGGAAAGAATTTGGGGCAGCGACTGGTATTTTTGGGTAGGTCGTGTTGAGACGAATCCGTAGACATGCGGTAGGCTTGAATCAGAGTTGTAACGAAGAAATGGCGATCAAAATAAGTTCAGTGGCAAACTTGTAATTATTTCAAAAAGAGTTAGGGTAAAAATCTGATTTTTCATTTTCTACCTCACTCTCTCTCTCTCTCCCCGAGCTCTACTCCCTCTACGCGTAAACCCTCCCCGATTATTGTTCATCCGAACAGAAACCACCACACTGCCGCCACTTCCGGCCACCCCAACTGACGAGACTGGTCAATCGATTCCTCTTGAAGCCCCGAACCCGAACCACCAGTTTTCTCGACCGGGAACCTCGAAATCCGGCCACGGTTTCGATTGGTTTGAATTGGAAAATTCCCGTCGTTGCGCCGCCGTCTCTGCCGCTCAATCCCGGTGAAACAGGTAAGGGTTCTTCCTCTTTTTACGTGTTCTAGCTGCCTGTTGCATAGGTTTGGATCAATTTGTTGCCTAGAATCCTGATTTTGAAACCTAGGTTTTGGCCGGATTTCAAAGTGAAATTCCGGCCGGTTGCCGTCCGAATTGGACTTGGTCGTAGTCGAATAAAAAGCTCCACTCGTCGAGTAAAACCTGTAGCCGAGATGGTGGTTTGTAATTTTGAGATTTTCCAGCGAACGGTATTGCTTTGGACACCCACGAGCTGCCAGCGTGTGGGCATTGTAGAAATAGGGCATTGCATCATGTTGTAATCCTTGTGTTGTCACGAGCGCGTAGGCGTGCTCGGATTTCGATTCGGACGTCGTTTGACTATCGAACTGATTTCGCATATTGTGCATTATCCAGGTTCAATAAGTTATGACCGTTGGATCGTTTCCAAATTAAAATATGTTGATCTAGGTACTCTTAGAATCGTATAGGATTTTGCGGATTGTGAATTGGAGCCCCAGATGTTATGATTCAATAATTCAAAGTTTATGGGTTAGCGATAACCGTCCAATTGTGAGCGATCCGACCATCCCTTTCGGATCACACCTGCAAGACGTAATTCCTAGACCCATAGTTGGACCTTAGAATATCTCGTTCTATGTACACGCACCGGGAATTTGGGGATTTAAGTATTCAATTTGTGATTTCCGTTTCGAAGTGATTTTATATTAATTAAGGGTTCGTATCTCGAAATAGGTGCTCCGGTCGATCGTACACAGCATGCAGGACCCTCTCAGGGTGGGGCAGCTTGGGACTATCTGTGAGTGGACTTTGTGTTCAATCATATGAATGGTTTTATTGATAAAAGAATTATGCATAATGTTTTAAATGGTATATTGGATATATTATATATTCAAATGTTGAATTTGATGTTCTTATAGCACTTTGGCAATATATTGTGGGTTTTGACATATTTGAGTATCGTGAGTATGTTTATATGGATTTTGGGAAATTCTATCTATATTGTCTATGTATGGAGTATATGGGTTGTTGAGGTGAGATTGTAAAAAGATTGAGTATGAGGGGTTGTTGATAGAAGATGTATGATTGCACTATGTAAGTACCATCCCCTTGTTACTAGGCTTCCCCCACGTGGCGTTGGTAGTTCCAGCGTGTGGGAAGGACATGTGATTATTAGTCTCACACGTGACGTTGGTAGTGGGAAGGACATGTGATTATTAGTCTCACACGTGGCGTTGGTAGTTCCGGCGTATGGGAAGAGTATGTATATTGCTTGGAATCATCACACATGGCATTGGTAGTTCCGGTGTGTGATGATGTAGTGTACGTGCGTAGGACTTAGTACGTGCGCTACACGTGGCATTGGTATTTCCGGCGTGTGAGCTATGGAGTTTCGTCCCCCGGTTGGACCGCTCATCCTTAGACGCAGGATAGCACCTGGAAATCCTGCGGGCTAGTAAAACAATCCCCCGGTTGGATTGTTTCCCCGGTACATAAGTAGTGAGAGAAGTACATGACATATCTATAATTATATATATATATATATAGGTGTGAGTATAAAGCAATTAGAGTATATGTAGTGGGCTGGTAAAAGCAGTATAATTTTGGGAATGAAGTTTATGGTTTGAGTGATTTTGGTTTTAAAAAGGTTTCAGAGATTAATGGTTTTGAATATTATTTATGAATTGTGAATTTGCATGCTTTGGACATTATTTTTACACGGTGGGGTTATTATGTTGTTTTAAATACAAACTTTGTTTTTGTCCATTCACATGTTTTCTGTTTTGCGCCCCCCAGACAGTAGTCGCTCCAGGAAGGTTGCAAGCTGTGTACGAGGCTCGAACTGTAAACTTCAGTAGATTAGGATTGAGAAATTTCTTTCTACTCAACTGTTGTTGTAAACTAAATCTGTTAGATGCTCTGTTATTGCCCATGTTAGGTTTTTCCTTGAGGCCGGAGGCCATTTCCTTCGTACTGTTGTATGTTGAAAGCATTCTGCTGATTGGGATCTTTATTATGTATATTATTGAAGGTTGTATTTTGTTGGGTTTGTGCATTTTACAAGGGAGACTGTAGAATTTTTGGTAGAATGTCTCGATTTTAGTAAGTGGGCCCGGCATCGGGGTGATGTAGGTAACAAGACGGGATCCGTCCCGGTTTCTGAGGAAATTCCGAGGCGGGTCCTGTCAAAAATTGAACAAAAAAAATATGAAATTTTACCCATCAATTAACGGCCAGATTGACGAAATGCTATGGAATGACGAAATTAACACCCGTAACAGATTAGAGGACGATAGAAACCAAAAAACAAATTGAATGATCAAAATGAAACGCACGTATTAATTGACTTAACATGGTTTCAATAAAAAAGAAAACAATCTTATCATATACGCCAAAAATCGGAAAAAAAAACACATTCAGAAATCAAGTAATGGGACAAAAAAATTTTACGGTTATAAACAAAAATCACAATTTAACGGTTATTTTAACTCCGATTTTGATGTTTTTTTTACAGCTACACTCCTTGATCCTATATGAGTACAATGACTGAGTTTGATCTTCAATTTAAAATATTTACACTAGTGGATACCACAAAATCTTATGTTATATTTAACGAAAGTATAAATAAACTCTTAATTGTTTGTGAATATATTATTTTGATGGCATACACATTCTACGAAACTAGTTTCAACGATCCAACCGTCAAACTTGTTTGTTTATACTTCGAGATCATATACGCCAAAAATCGGAAAAAATAAACATTCAGAGATCAAGTAATTGGACAAAACTTTTCGACAGTTATAAACGAAAAATCACAATTTAACGGTTATTTCAATTTCGATTATGATGATTTTTTACAGCTACACTCCTTGACCCTATATGAATACAATGAACTAATTCGATCTTCAATTAAAAATATATATTTTCTAACAAAAACTCAATCCAAACTACAATAATATATTTTTCTAACAAAAATCCGATCCAAACTAAAATAATAAATTTAAAGCTACTTAATAAATATATATACCATTTTATTTCTTAAGTGTTATGCATACAAAATAAAAAACAAAAATAAATTGGTTTAGGCGACGAAATATTTGGATTACGTCATGCAAATATTTTAAAAAATAATTTTTTTTATTTTATTTATTTTTGTAATGACTTTGCGCGACGAAACACACTTCGTCGCTCAAGACTTTGTGCAACGAAGTTTATTGTTTCGTCGCGCAAAGTCACTTTGAGCGACGATGTATTGTCGTCATGCAAAAGTTTGTAGTGCAAAGTGACTTTGAGCTACGAATTGTTTTTCGTCGCACAAAATTTGGTCGCGCAAGACTTTGAGCGACGAAGTTTTGAGTTTCGTCACGCAAAGTGACTTTGAGAGACGAATATTTTTTATCATGCAAAATTTGGTCGCACAAGGGTTTTTTTTTACTAGTGTAGATTTATTTAAAAGAATTACAATTTTCATTTGTATATTTCTTACTTTTCATTTTTCAATAATTAATTAATAAAAATATTGCTTTTATTGATGTCTGGTCTTTATTGTAATTTCAATATAATTCAATAAAAAATTTAATAATGATATTGACTTTCATTGCAATTTCTTCCAGTAGAGTAAACATTTCATAAACATATTAGCTTTGATTTCATAATTTTCATTACAATTTACACATATGGAGGATTAAACCTCCCAAAATATTAAGTCACTTGTAATTAAATATACAGTCATTTGGGATCTATTGACGTGAGTCTCCTAATTAATCAAGGAGATTTACTTCCTTGATTAATTAAGGGATTTACTTTCCTATTTTTATATGAGTGATAAAACCCTAATGTACAATTAGGAGATACTTTCCTAATTCTTTACTGTATCTAATTCCTTGTAAAACCCTAATGTAAACTCCTATATATATCTCGTTATGGAGAAGAATAAAACTCAACCCAAAGTATTCAAACCATATTCATATTTTAGCATGGTATTAGAGCAAGCGATTCGAGGTTGTCTCTAAACCCTTATCTCAAATTTCTCATATTCAAATCCAAAACCCTAAATCAAATTCCTCATATTTTTCCCTCAAATCTAAAGACCTCAAATCCTCTTATCAAAATCCCTAAACACATACCCTCAAATCTTATACACATACCTCTCAAATCCAATTCATACATTCAATTCCTCAAATCAAATTCCTCCAAACACAATTCCTCACATTCTCATATCATATCTTACTTCCGTTGCGATGTCAGGAACCCCTACGATTCTCCCCCTTATTGCAAACTCACAAAAGCATGCGGTCAATCCCGCTGACCCGACTACCCAAACTCATGCTTCTATCGCCACCATCAAAGGTTCTGCTTTCAAACGTCCTCTCAAAAATCTGCATGGATTATCGACTTGGGTGCTACGGATCACATGACATTTGATCCTGGCCAACTTCTTAGTCGCAAATCATCCACTCCGTCGGTGGTGTCTAATGCTAATGGTACCCCCTCCCCTGTGGTTGGGGAGGGCTCTCTATCTCTCTCTACTTCCCTACATCTGGATTCTGTATTACTTGTTCCATCTTTGAACCATAATTTGTTATCTGTTGCCCAACTTACTACTACTTTGGGGTGTACTGTAACATTTTGGCCGAATCATTGTGTTTTTCAGAACATCCTCACAAAAAAGGTGATTGATACTTTACTGGAGCTGAAGCGGGCAAAATCTCATAAAACGATTCAATTTCCTCCTCCTGATTTTGACCGCGTGGAGACAACGGATCGTTTTCTTCTGATGACCAGTCGCCATTCGACAGCGATCAGTCACCAGAAGAAAATGATTCGTTGTCTCCACGCGGTCAAAATCAGGAGGAGGAAATTGAACCGTTTCATGAGATTTTGCCCGCTTCAGCTCCAGTACCGCACCAATCACCTGCTAAGGAAGTCATTCAGGTAACATCTTTTCTTGAACGTGATAACACTAATAAAATATCCCATGATGATTGGATTTCAGAAGGCACAGAGCCTACATATCAGCTCCAGAAAGAAAGAACCGTGGTAAACCTCGAGTACAATATGAAACAGATCTTAAAGCCAAAGGGAAATACCCCATCAATGATTATATATCTCTCAGCAGATTATCAGAGTCACGTGTGCACTATATGAAGCAGTTGGCTGACATATTTGTCCCCAACAGTGTAACTGAAGCGCTAGCAGACCCAAAATGGAAAGAAGCAATGAATGAAGAAATGCGAGCTCTCCAAAAGAATGTCACATGGGAACTCGTGCCCCTACCTCATGGAAAGAAGACAGTAGGATGCAGGTGGATTTATACTGTGAAACTCAAAGCAGATGGATCCGTTGAAAGATATAAAGCTAGATTGGTGGCGAAGGGCTACACACAAAGATATGAGATAGACTACGAGGAGACCTTTGCCCCAGTAGCCAAGATTAACACTATTAGAGTCCTATTGTCTCTAGCGGCAAATCTCGATTGGCCACTACATCAGTTTGATGTCAAAAATGCATTCTTACATGGAGACTTGGAAGAAGAAGTATATATGGACTTACCCCTAGGATGTAATTCAGCTCATGACAAGAAAAATCAAGTTTGCAAACTCAGAAAGTTATTATATGGGTTAAAGCAATCTCCTAGGGCATGGTTTGGCAGATTTACTAAATCTATGAAGAATTTTGGATATACATAGAGTAATTCAGATCACACCCTGTTCTTGAAGCGTGATGAAGGAGAACTTACTGCATTGATTGTTTATGTAGATGACATAATCGTAACTGAAGTCGCAAAATTATTTGTCTCTGGAATTTGAGATGAAGGACTTAGGTGATCTAAGTACTTTCTCGGAATCGAAGTAGCAATGTCAAAAACTGGTATATTTCTGTCTCAAAGGAAGTATGTAATGGATCTACTCACAGAAACAGGAATGCTTGGATGTAAGCCTGCTGACACACCCATTGAGATTAATCACAAGTTGTGTGAAGACATGGACCAAGAACCAACCAATAAGGAACAGTACCAACGCCTTGTTGGAAGGTTGATATACCTAGCACACACAAAACCAGATATTGCATATGTGGTGAGTGTGGTTAGTCAGTTTATGCATTCGCCCAGTGTCTTTCACAGGAATGCAGTTGATCGGATCTTAAGATACTTAAAGTCAGCACATGGGGAAGGATTAATGTTCTCAAAAAATGGAGATCTTGAAGTTGTTGGATATACAGATGTTGATTGGGCTGATTCCATTACAGATAAACGCTCTACTTTTGGTTACTTTACATTCGTGGGAGGTAACCTAGTCACTTGGCGGAGTAAAAAGCAAAATGTGGTTTCTCGGTCTAGTGCAGAAGCAGAGTATCGAGGAATGGCTCACGGAGTTTGTGAATTATTGTGGATCAGAAGACTCTTGACAGAATTGGGCTTCAAGCCAGAAAAGCCATTGGAGTTGCATTGTGACAACAAGCCAGCTATCGATATTGCCCATAATCCAGTTCAACATGATTGAACCAAACATGTTGAGGTGGATAGACATTTTATCAAAAGAAAAAATTGCGAAAAAGATCATCCGCCTACCATTCGTAAAATCAGAAGATCAACTGGCAGATATCTTAACCAAAGCTGTTTGTGGAAGAGTATTTCATGACTCGCTTACCAAGTTGGGCATTGGTGACATATATGCACCAACTTGAGGAGGAGTGTTGACATGAGTCTCCTAATTAATCAATGAGATTTACTTCCTTGATTAATTAAGGGATTCACTTTCCTATTTTTATATAAGTGATAAATCATTGTACAATTTGGAGATACTTTCCTAATTCTTTATTGTATCTAATTCCTTGTAAAACCCTAATGTAAACTCTTATATATACCTCTTTAAGGAGAAGAATAAAAATCAACCCAAAGTATTCAAACCATATTCATATTTTAGCAGGATCTACTTTCAATATAACTAATTTCATCCTACTTGAACTTGGTCTTCAAAAAGGAAATGGCATATCCTAGTATCAACGAAGCAGTTATGATCAAAATTGTAATAACCCAAACCTTAATTAATATTTAATTATTAAACTATTAAGAGGAAAGGACAATTTTGCCCTTAGAATAATTTATTAAAGAAAAAGTTGACTTTTTGACCGAATAAGAATTTGCTAAGAGCGCGACGAATCGAGTCCGTAGACACATAGTGGGCTCGAATCGGAGTTATAACGAAGAAAATACGGTCAAAAGATGTAGAAGAGCAAAATGGTAATTTTCAATGTCAGATTTTTAAAACCCCAATTCTCTCTCTTCTCCCTCAGTCTCTCTTCTCTCCTTTCGCAGCCCTTCCCGTGCATCCTCCCCCAGCCAAACCTCCATCACCACCTAGCCGCCACCAACCTGCAAATCAACCCACTGAATCGCTCCGCCACCACCCCGGCACCTTCTCCGACCAAGCTCTGACGCCAGCCGCAGCGAAACCACCGGAAAACTAGAAGGAAAGTCTCCGATTTTGACAGAAACTTCGCCGGCCTTGTTCTCCGTCATCCGGCCATCATTTCCAGCGATCCAGGTATGGAAATTCATCTATTTCTCGAGCCCTAGCTGCTGGTTGGGTAACATTTCAGAAATTTCTAGCGTAGACACCTTGATTTTTGAATTGGAATTCGGTCGATTTGGAGAGTGCAATTCCGGCCACTTTTTAGGGTCGGTCCAAGAACAAAAGTGGTTCCAAATAGGGTGTTACATCTAGGATAGGAGTCTTGAGTTGTAACTCTGAGATTTTCTGGTGAAGCTTTATCGCTTGGGTTACTCACGCGCTGCCGGCGCATGTGGCGGCTCGTGGGTAGTCTGGTGGGGACCACTTTCAGTCCTAGACTGATCCTCGTGTTGTTACGAGCGCGTAGGAATTTGCGGATCTCGATTCGGACAACGTTTGAACCCCGAACGGATCTCGCATAGTGTGAGGTTTCTGGGTTCAATACATTTGAGCCTTTGGATCGTAATCATTTTCAGATATATTAATCTAGACAATACCAGGATCGTTTAGGGTTCGACGGATCGTGAATCGGAGTCCCGGATACTCCAAAATCGCGAACCCTAGGGTTAAGGTTTTAGGAACCGTTGATCGTGCGATCGTGACCAATCCAATCGTCCGATCGAGACCAGACTCATGGGACATGTGTCCTAGGTTTGAAGGGACGTTAATGTGGGCATAGGAATAACTTTAATTTGATGCACGCACTTCTAGGAGCCAGGGGTCAGGGCTTTTAATTTATTAGTATATTGAGTAAGTATATTAATATAATGTTATGGTATTTGAATCAAACACCCGGGCACCAGTTGACTCGCAGGAGGGACCTTTAAAAGGTCCAGCGAGCACGGACCAATAGTGAGTGGACTCTTTGTTTTATAAATGATTTATGCAATTCAATCCATTGTTTGATCTTGAATAAGTTTTATTCAAAGATTATTGCTTTCATATTTTGATATATGCTTTTAAATATCTTAATTTACATGCTGCCGAGTGGGATATCCTTGAAGGATATAGGAAAGGAAATTGCTAGCCAAATATCATATAAATGGCAACAGAGTTCTAGATTTAACAGAAACTCATTTATTTATCAGATCTTTTAGAAATTTTATATTTTCTTAAGCCACCTTAGGTACCCAAATATAAATATGTTGCCTTCGGATAAATTGGTTGCCTTCAGTAAATATGTTGCCTTCGGATTTTATTGGTTGCCTTCGGTTTAGTCAGCATGCTTGACAGTTGCCCCACGAGTTCTGTGGTACTCGGACTCGTGCGGAGCGAGGAATGTAGATTAGGCTGACTAACGCCCCCTGAATCCTGCGAGTTTGCGGCTCGAGTTGACCTTGTGTCACTGAGACCTGCGAGAGCGTGTCACCAATGGTGATACGAGGAATTGACGGCATATAAGGAATTGACGGATATCAAGAATTGACAGAAACAAAGGGGTACACCTAGGTGGTAGATTTAAATTGATTTCAATGCTTTTAAGAGATTAATGTTGACCCTGAGTATGATTGGCATATATTTATAAATATATGAATGCATTGATTTCAGTACGAGTATATTGAAGATAGTTTTTGCATAACTGTTTTTACAATAGGGTTAGTATGTTCTTATGTATTTTCTAAACTTTGTTTTTGGTCCACTCACATTTTCAATGTTTTGCGCTCCCAGGCTATAGACGTGCATCCGTGAGCCACCACAGGGCAATTTCCGCTTCTCGCACTTCCTCAGTTTGATGTAGGGTTTCATGGTTCACAAATTATTTCTTCCCTTGTAAATTGATCTGTATAGACTCTCTGATATTGCCCTTGGACCCAAATCTTACTGTTGTTTGTAAATATTTGCATACTGGCTATTGGGTTGCATGTTTTATGCTTGTTTAACATGTGGAAATTTTGGGGAATGAACAAATTACAGGGGAGACTATGCTGAATTTTCAGTAGAAGTCGAACTTGTAATAAGTTTAAATTTTAACAAGAAGGGCAAGTAGGTCGTTTGTGCTGGCACCCGCCAGGTGTCGATCACGCACAGGGTTCGGCTCGGATTCCAAAGTGGAATTTGGGTTGGGTCCTGTCATAAATACCAAACTAACATGTATTTTGGTATTATGAATTTCATAACACCAAAACACATATATGTTGATAAGCATGGTGTTAACAAAAAGCATAATGGTACTGCATGGTCTAGATACCATAAACTCTAACCATATTTTTCAAACTTTAAACACAGGGCCAACATTCCTTGCATGCTCCTCCTCTTCTATCCCCCTTAGTACTGGTCTATAACCATCTTGATCAATTAATGTCTGGCTTGGCATGTAAGGTGAATGTAATGTTGCATTCATAATTTCTTCTAATCTATTAGAACCAAGTGCTACCTGTGGAGTGCTTAAGCAATTAGTTGGTGAAACATGTCCCAATAGCAATTCAGAATCAATGTTAGAAACATTGCTTGCACTAGCTAAAACCTTTTCCATGATGGCTCGTTGTTTCATTAAAGTTGCTCCAAACGTTTCACCTTTCCGTTGTGGCTCTCCCCTCTTCTCTCAAACCTTTTCTTTTTGTCAGCACACCCGACACATCCTCAGGTCTCACCCGTATGCCATATCCTCTCACCCGATTACACTTCTCTCTTCCAAGCACTTTAGAATATATAATATTGATTTCCTCTGCTATTACTTCATCTGGTAGTTGGTTTTGCTTCTTTTTATTCCTAATATCAATGATCGTTGAATTCATATCTTCCAGCATGAAGTAATCACAAAGAATATATATATATATATATGTTAACTGTGCATTCTACTACATGGATGCCTTTATAACAAGCAACACAAGACAGTAAATCCTAAACTACAATCAAATTCAGCCTCACCATAGCTTTTGCAGCTGTCTCATTCACATGTGTTCCATTCTTTCTTAGGTGGCATAGTTCAAACATTTTGCATCTGTCAGAGGAGACACCCCTATGATTCACCTTCTAAAATCTACTAGACATAGTTCACATATCAAATATCATTTTAAATCATAGAACAAGTACCTAAAAGAAGTTTTTCTTAAGCCATCCACAAAATCATTTGTTCATGGCCCATTAAGTAAAACAATTGAAAGTACATACCAACTGTCCTATGTTTTTATCATTTATATACGATCAAACATTATGAGAATTTACATAAGTAGATGTAGGAGACTTTTTCTTTCGGCAGCTGTAAATGGGCTGGGCTGCCGTAAATGGCAGATTGATAAAATTGTCCCATTTGTCTGAGTTCGAAAATTAAGCCCCAAAAGCACTTCAAAAGGGCAGAAGAGCCTTATGAAGTATTTTGGTTACCTTTACCAACCAAAACAATGGCAACTTACAGATAATTTCTTCATGCTTACAGATAAACTCATAAGCTCAGTGTGAGTGGCATGTGGCATGGAAGCAAAATCAACATAAGTTTGGCACTAAGAGAAAATTCAGGCTTGCTTTGAGGGAAAAGGAAGTGCTAGGATAAGAAAGGAGAAGTTTCGTGAGAAATTGGCTAAGAAAAAGTAAATAGAGAACAGAGTTCTTTCGGCAGCTTGACAGATGCTCTGTCTGCCAGAAGAGAAGAATGGAGAAGAGAGGTGAATAGTGCACGAGGTTGCTGGGTTTTTGCAAGTCAAAGAGAAAGCTTGCTCTCCGAATCTGAGTTGGATTTGTTAGGTAGGAGAAGCCTCATTTTATAGCCGCTGGAAACCACCGCTTCTCAAGAAACCCTAATGACTTCTACCCATTTTGGCCAAGCTTTTCCCCTCCTTTCTCATCTCCCTCCTTGACTCTTCCCATTTTAATGAAATCCCTTCTGTCTATTTGCACCAGATTATAATTGTTTTGAAGCTCAAGGCCCCCTTTTCTCACAGCTGTCTCAATGGCAGACTTCCATTCCCAGCTATCTCTTTTATTGCTTTCTTCCTTTTTTTTCCATGGCCAAGTCTGATGGGAAAAGGAGTTGGGATATATACGCTGGTTCGAAGAGTGTTTCTCTCTTTGGCATCTTACACGCTAATACCCCTTGGTTCCTTGAATGTTTTGGTTTTGAAACTTGCTCCCTCCATGTGCTGGAACCTCCCAGCAGCTCTGTTTAATGATCCTGCAGACCTTCTCTACGTGGCTTCTATTTTTTCCAGCAAAGGGCTGAGGTTTTTGTGGCTTATTTTGGAGTTTTGTATGGGCCAAGGTGGTTCCTTAAGCAAGTGGGCTATTTTTTTAAACATTGGGCTTTTTGGTTGTGTCAATTGGCTATTTTGCTTGGGCTATTAGGCTATTTTCCTCTTTTGTGCTCACCCACATGTTTGGGCCTAAGAAATGGGCTTGAGTCTCGAGGCTCCCAAGCAACCCGAGACTTTCCATTTCTCGGCCTATCAATGGGCCTCATGTTGATTTATTACCGTCCATACCACAACCCACTCAAGCAAGCTCCGGGTATTTGAGTGGCTTGGGCCCACTTAGGCTTGTAGCGTGGTTGGGTGTGAGATAATGATTTCGTGCTTGGCATGGCATGTCGCTTGACATGTTTTAATTTATCGTCCTTGAGAAGGGCTGCGATATTTAATTTTGGCATGGGCTTGTAGACCCGATATATTTTATCTCAACCCCTAGTGAATTTATTTATTTAGCGTGGCACGTGAACTGTAATTCGCATGTGGTGGGTTTTCGTGTACTCCGCTTTACGCTTTTTCTTAATGGACTGTCGTTTTGGGCTGCTAATTTATTCGGGTCCAACCATGGATTTTTTTGGGTCTCAACAGCAGACTTACAATATGATAACATGCTCCACATTAATTAACTAGAAAAACTGTGACACTTACATATTGGTTCCTTACTTGGGCATATGATTTTGTCCCCGTTGTCTGGTTCATCATCTTGTGCTTCACACGATTACATTTACTTGTGCCCGATTGCATTTAATAAGCAAAACTAAACTAAACATTCAAACAACTTGAAATTTAAAAAAGTTAACAAAACTAACAAAGCAGATTGAAAAAGCATGGTGACAATCGCAACATAGTGGTCCAGTTATTAATATGAAGAAAATAGTCAATGAGTAAATTTTTAAAAATGATGGCACTCAACAACCCAAAAGGAAAAGAAAGAGAAAAAAAAAAGCATCAAACCAACAAGGGAAGATTTGATACCTGTTTAGAAAAATCCAACGGCAAAATCTTAAGTGCTTTAACCCTTCTTTCATTCCCTAATTTTCTCTTGAAGATGGCCAAGACAAATAGGAGAAGTGGAAATACTTTAGTGAGCTAAAAACTAGTTTCTGGCTACAATAAGATATTGCACTCGGTTATTATGTATGATCAGATCTTATAGAACCAAAATTGAATATCAAAAGCAAAATCATCATAAATTTATCATTAAAAATAAAAATCAAATCAAATTTAACAAAAACAAAGAGAGAACAAACAACCCAATCAATAAAGTAAATGCCAAAATTTGCAGTAATTCAATTCAGAAAGTAACATACTAGTAAAGTCAATGAACTTTATCGAACTTGAGAAAGTAGATGATTATGATAGAATAAACCCAAAAAAAAAAAAAAAAAAAAAAAAAAAAAAACAAAAAAAAAAAAAAAAAAATATTTCATGAAACCCAAAAGAGAAGAAAATAAACGAAGGAAAAAAAAATGCTTGCAGAAAGAAGAAACATAGTTACAGTGAAAATGACAAAACTTAGGGCATGCCTTGTTTGGCCTCCAAGGCCCCATATTTTGTAATACAAAGATCTTGGGACCACCGTCACCACCACCCATCTCTCACTTGTTGAGAACCCAACTTGAACTTCAAGGACCTAGAAATTTCGAGTGAGAACCCAACTTGAACTTCAAGGACCTAGAAATTTCCAAGATATTTCCCCGCATTAATCAGATTAGAGACCAAGTTGGCATTCCCAGAGGCTATGGCAGATTTTATTAGACAGCTGAGAGAGGAAGAGTGTGTAAGATGATTGAGGGAGATGTGAGATTATGGAGAAGGGTTTGTTGTGGTTAGAGACGCAGCCTAAAACCATGGTATTTTCTTTTTAACATTGTCCTTTATGAAAATATCCAACTTCATTAGTCTTTTTCTTCTTTGTTTATTGAACCAAGATCAAATTGTCTTCTTTTTTCTATTTAATAATTGGGTTTATCTATACGTATTGTTTTTTGTTGCGTTTTATACGTATTTAACTGGATTACTTTTACTAAAGAAGTTATCCTGAAATATTATATTGCAAAATTACTGTTGAAGTGTCATATGATTTTATATATATTATATTTAAATCAATAATCATAAATTCCTTAAAGTGTGAGATAACTAGTCACAATTAATAGTGAGTAGTAAGCAAAACCATTGACCACTCATTCAAATGTCACCAAAATCTATTTGTTGCTTAAAAAATGTGACTATTGTCTTCTTTTTTGGTAGTGTGCATAGAAAAAAAAAGAGGTAGGGTAGAGTTAGGGTTTTTATTTATTTATGTTTTAGAGACGGATTGTAACTTGCTCTAATACCCACTCAAAAGTAATTTGGGATAATACTTTTATTCTTCTCTCAAGTAAAGATATATAAACTTACGGATCCCGAGCCTCTACATTTAGCATCCACGCATTTCCCATATTTCGCTTTATCTAAGTTGTTATAATAATCAGACGATTGGATAATGGCACATCAACTATAGAATAAAGTTTAATTTAATTATATTTTTTATTTTTCTAAACTGACATTAACGTTTCCATTTTCTCCCCTCCTCGCTCCCTTTAAAAAAAAATAAAAAATCACACTGGAATTCCATTAAACCGTAACCCAGAGCGTAGGTACAAGCAACTAGAGCCCACAAACTAGGGACTAGCATAACAACATGCGAAAGTTAAATGAACAACCATGCGAGAAGGAAAGAGCGACAGACGTAGCTCCTCGCTCTCCTCGATTCTCTCTCCTTTTCTTGGTGAAATCGATATTTCATAAAACCCCAAGAAACAAAAAGGCAAAGCACAACAGCAACCGAAATAAACACAAGGAGGAGACATTTGTATTTCCCAATTTCAAAACTCAAGTAAAATTTTATGTAAATCAAATTCCAAGTGAAAAAGCATCAATGGAATTTTAGAAAACCCACTACTGCTCTGCTAAGGCATCAAACCCTAAATTGAATTTCCTATTTTTTCTATAACTTCAACGATTCACAGTAAAGATGTTGAAGCTTTTCTTATTCTTATCATGCCTCCAGGCATGAGTCAACAACATGGGACCTCCAAGCTCTCCTTGGAATTTCATCGAGTTCTTGGTCTGGGTTCTTGTCTTCGTCAGTAATTGAGCCCACGCATTCGCATTCAATTATTAAATGGTTGAACCAAATTCCAAGTGGAAAAAAAATCCATAAATTTGATATATAATTTGAATTTTTGAGATTTTGATTTGCGTTTTGAACTAGTGTTGAATATTAGAGATTCTTGGGAAGTGGGAATTGGCATAGTCAAAGAGAGAGAGAGAGAGACATATATATATATATATATATAACGAGAGCTAGCGTCAGCTTAGAAAAAAAATAATTAATAAAACTAAAATTTATATGTTAAATTTGATGTGTTATGTTTTTAGTCGTTAGATTATTATAAGAGCATCTCCAATCGATGTGTCAAACGTGCCACATAGACATTTAACAGCTATAAATAACATCTCACATCACTCCAACCAATGTGTCAAAGCTGATGTGGAATGAAGGCTGGAGGTTGATATGTTATTTTTGACATCTCAAAAGCAAGATGTCAAATGAATATTTTATGATTTTTTCTTTTCTATTCTTTTTAATTAAAAATGAATCAACACTAAAATGTAATAAAATAATAATTTAATTTGGCATATCGGGTGGAGTGTAAAGCTGTGTAAGATGTCAAATTGCCACATCAGCCATCAAATTTAAATTTGACGTTTGGTATTTGACATCTCCCTTGGAGATGCTCGAGCATCTCCAACTGATGTGTCAAAAGTGTCACATAGACAATTAACGGCTAAAAATAACATCTCACATCACTCCAACCGATGTGTCAAAACTGATGTGGAATGAAGGCTGGAGGTTGAGATGTTATTTTTGACATCCCAAAAGCAAGATGTCAAATGAATATTTTATTATTTTTAAAAGATAGTTGGCTGTTACTTTTATTTATTTATTTTCTTCTTTATCTTAAATGATTTGACTGTTACAATAATTATTTATTTGACATATCGGGTGGAGTGTAAAACTGTGTAAATGTCAAATTGCCACATCAACCATCAAATTTAAATTTGATGTTTAGTATTTGGCATTTCCCTTGGAGATGCTCTAAGGGCTTAGATGAAACGAAATGCGGAAAAATGCGTGGACTTTAAATGCAGAAACTCGAGATCCTAAACTTACATAAAGAGTCAATACAAATAATAAATATATACAAAATCTCTTAATTCTACTCTAATTGGGTAATTACAATAAATAAATCTATTCCTGAATTATTTTATGGGACATTTGATGAAAATGCGTGAGCTAATAACTAAGCAACAAAATTTTGATACTTCAAAACAGAGATATTTTCTAAAATACTACTCTTATGTACTCTTAAAGGGCTAAAATAATTGAAGATTTTGATATGCTTTCACTATTTTCAGCTCTGAAAGATGTTAAAAAGTCATGAGGAGACAGTATTACTTTCACTATGAGGTTCTTAAAAAGTTTATTCGGTGTGGGAATGTAAGTGAAGCATTGCTTCAAATGAAATTTATAGTCAAGGTATTAACTATCTTTTTTTTATTTGGGCCTACGTGCATGTTCGAAGTTTTGACCAACCAAATCATTAACTAGTCTTCGGTTTGAACTTTCTTCACGTACGGATAAGAGCAGAGTTGTGGACGAACCGTGACTTGACTTGGTGGCAGCTTCTGTAGAAGTGGCCGGTAAATACCACCTAATTCTTCCCCATGGAGGTCGTGTTTTACAAGTCTTCCCCAAACCCCACGGTACGCTGAGTGAAGCCCAAATTTCCACACAAGTTTCTCAGCAAATTGGTCATCACCGTATACAAGATGATATGGTCCTTCTGACATGGATGGTTATGCGCATAAATACCACATAAATTGCGCTTTTTGACTCGCTACATTTGCAAAGTGAAAGTGGCTCTCTATTCTATCTCCTATCTTATAACCTTTCAAGCCCACTTGAATGGAAACTAAAGTGATTGTTATATATTTTCAGTTTAAAAAGATAATAAAAATCATGATTAACAAAAATAAATAGTCTTGTTGGACTTGGATATCGAGTCTCTGCATTTAGCATCGGTGTATTTGTGTGCATTTACTAAAATCCTGACCATTTGATTAATTTAATGATATTAATTAATCCACATTAGCATAGTTATAGTATCTTAAAAAATCAGATGATTTGTACCATATCACCCCTTCCACCCTCCCGCATCTCTACTATCACAAACCCTCTTCCCAGACTCCTATGTTGCTATGGCTACCATCTCTTAAAAATCAGATGGTGTTTGCATACTGCAAAAGTGAAATGTTTCAAATTGACCACCATAAAGAGGACCTGGTATGAGGGAGCCCCAAATCCCCTCAACACAACTTGTTCTCGTATGTCTAAAAAGATATTCCCATTGCAACTAAGTTTTTCTCTTTTTTATCTAATTGTGGACCAACCCCGACTTGACTTGGCAGTAGCTTTTTGTAAAAGTGGCGAATTATTGTTGGGATATCTAATTGTTTATTAGAAAATTGCCGGTACCATATCAATTATTGATATGGTGGGAAAAAAAAATAATGTTTCAACGTACTCGTATATCTCTTTGATCGCAACCCAATTGAATCGTGCATCTTTTTGTATATAACTGTGGACCAACCACGACTTGGCTGTAGCTTCCGTAGAAGTGGTGAATGGGTTAATGTTTTACAAGTCTTTCCTAGATCCCACACGGCCTCCCAAATCAAGCCGGAATTTCCACACAATTAATGTCCTAGCAAATTGGTCGTCTCTAATGTAACTTTCTATTAAAGAAGCCTTACTTGTAGGGATGGCAATGGGTTGAATCGGGGGTGGGTATGCCATTCCCATCTCTGTCCCCGTTAAGCTTTTTTCCTTCATCCCCGCATTCATACCCGCAATATTCATATCGGGGATTCTCCATCCCCACCTTGGGGAATGGGTTCCCTGACCCTCCACATTACGGAAGAAAAAAGTGTAGGCTTGACTTAGAATTAAGTTAAGCCACATCCCTTATAACAACATGATCCACTAGAGCAATGTTAACTACTTGTATATATAAAATGATATCCATTCAACACAAAATACTTACTTAAGTTTGTGTCTTTGCTTCCCTTCTAGTCATGTCGTGGACGTCCAAGCAACTCCTCTTTCTGGTTGTTGGTTTCGCTCTTAATCTGATGCTGCTTGTTCATTCCCAAGATGATCAATCAGGTAAATATACTCAGCAGCAAGAAAAAATAAATCGTTAATTTTGGTAGCATAGTATATAGCTAAGATATATACCTCTCTTTCTTACATATGTGTGTTTATATATCTCAGGATTCATTAGCATAGATTGTGGCCTCCAGGCATATTCAAGTTATTCTGAAACAACAACTCGCATTAACTACGTTTCCGATGCAACCTTCATAGACACCGGTGAAAGTAAATCCACATCGCCTAGTTACAGAGATAAGTATCAACAGCCATACGGGTCTGTTATGAGCTTCCCCAAAGGAGACAGGAATTGCTACAAGATAAATGTTACACGAGGCAACAAATATTTGATCCGAGCAAATTTCGTATATGGGAATTATGATGGCCAAGATAAGATACCAGAATTTGAACTGCACCTTGGACCTAATTTGTGGGATACGGTTAGGTTTGAAAATGCCTCCAGAGCATACACGAACAAAGAGCTCATATATGTCCCACGCCGAAACAATATACATGTTTGTTTGGTGAACACAGGTTCTGGGGTTCCATTTATATCAACTCTAGAACTCAGGCCTTTACCTAAAGCATCTTATCAAAGGGAAACGGGGTCATTGGCACTTGTCTCCCGATTTGACACGGGCCAAAGATCTGATACGGTAACTAGGTGAGTCTTCTCCTAGTTAGCTATGAGTTCCCCATATATATGTGTGTCTGTGTTTGCAATCATTGAAACTTTTAATTGTTATTATATTCTGATGGAACTTTGGCTTTGATTAGGTATCCAGACGATATTGTTGATCGATTCTGGTATGCCTATAATGACCTCGATGATTGGACACAATTAAACACCTCATCCACCATCAACTCCGACCCGTACCAACTTCCATCTGTTGTTATGAGTACTGCTTCAACGCCAAAAAATCCAAGTGATTCCTTGAGTATTATTTTCACGTTGCCAGACAAAGATGCTGTATATTACAGTTACCTGCACTTTGCAGAAGTTGAAAGCCTCCAACTCAACCAATCTAGATTGCAATACGTTTTGGACGGAGACGGCGGCACTTATGGGCCATTTGCTCCTCAATACTTGTCAGGATATACCATTTACGACACTAGCACTTGGAGCAGTGGTGGAAAATATGTTAATATTTCAATTACCAGGGCTGAGAAATCTACCCTTCCACCTATCCTCAATGCTTTCGAGATTTATATGGTTAAAAATTTCGTAAAAGAAGAAACAAACCAAGAAGATGGTAACCACTAACTAATTAGTTCTTCCTTACACAAGTGGCCTCCTCTCGTTTAGTAACTTACCAGTATGGAAGCATACATATAAATTCTTCTGATGAAATCTTCCGTTTGTGTGTGAAAATATTAGTTGACGCAATCTCATACATCAAGTCAACTTATAAAATTAAAAGAAATTGGCAAGGAGATCCATGTGCCCCTCAAGATTACGTTTGGCTAGGAGTAAAGTGTAACTATGAAGAATTTGTGTCACCAAGAATCATATCCTTGTAAGTATATGTGACTTCAAACAAACTTCTTCTAATATTTGAGTTAATTCTACCTCATGTGTTCACTAGTGAAGTTACAAAACATACAATCAGGAACTTGTCCTCGAGTGGCTTAACAGGGGAGATAGCTGCTTCTATATCCAATCTCACAATGATACAGTCTTTGTAAGTATATATGTCTAACTGAATTTGCTAAACGAGTACTTACCAATGTAATGAGAAGGTAGACAATCAGTTTAATTTAAATGAATTGAGCTGCTCATGATTTCAGGAATCTATCAAACAACAACTTAACGGGACCAATTCCAGAATTTTTGTCTAAATTCCAGAATTTGACTGTCCTGTAAGTTATTTGGTTATATGTCTAAAGTACTGTAAATGCTTAGTTTGTTAGAAAGCATCGTGATAGATTTTATCTTTGCAGAAACTTGGAGAAAAACAAGTTCACAGGCTCGGTTCCGGTAGGACTAATTGAAAGAAAGAATAATGGCTTTCTATTATTAAGGTATGCCTTTCTTAGTAAATCAAACCCTTCAAATTCAGTGTTTGGCTCACCCTAAAATTGAGTCTTTTCCATTTTAATTTGGACAAACTACAAAAAGAACCCCCAAATTATATATAGGGTCAGTTCAAGTTCATATACAAGTACATAATCAAAGTCACGGAAAATACCACCCAAGTTGTTTGGTTGCTGTAGTGGGGGTTTGAGTGGGGTGGGGTTTGCATCGGGGTGGCTTCAATGGTGGTTGGAAGGGGTGGGTTGCTGATGGCGTTGCTGGGTAGGAGGAAGGAAGATATTTTTTTTCTTCTCTTTTCTTTTTAATTTTAAAAAAAGTAAAGAATCTTTTTATTATTTTTTTGTCCATCTGGAGTTCCATGTCATTAAAAATGGGGCCTATGTTGACACATCAGCATTTAATAGACTTATTAACGGTTTGTGTAACGGAGGGGGAAATGTGTAGGTTTTCCATAACTTTGAGTATGTACTTGTAAATGCCCCCAAAGGTGGGTATGAACTTGAAAATAACCTTATAGTTGGGGGGTCTTTTGTATTGTCCTTCTAATTTTCGATTAACATACCATAAGTGCTTTCTATTTTAATTTTCAAATATCCTTAGAATCCAAAGTTATATAATTATCTGGTATTTCCTTAGAATCTGATTTTTGAGAGTTATATATAACATCTATATTTTATAAAATCAGTGATTAGAATTTATCAAATCTAACTGAAGTTTCCAACCATTTGATCTCAGTTTGTGCGATAATCCACATCTATCTGGGAATGGTTCTTGCAAATTAAAGAAGAAGCACAATTTCATTATTCCCATAGTAGTGCCAACCGCTGGAATTTCCATCCTCTTGTTAGTTGCAGTAGCTATCTGGTGGTGGAGCCTCAAAAGGAATAGGCAAGAGGGTAAGACTTCCAATATTTGTTAAAGTAATTTCTTCGGCGATAAATGATGAAGACTGAAGGTTTTGGTTATATAAGATACATGCTCATTAAACTTGTCATGTTCTTAGGAGGAGATGTCATAGATGAAAAAGCCAGCCCTCATGGGTCATTAGAATCAACAAAGCGACAGTTTACGTATTCTGAGATACTAATGATGACCAACAACTTTGAGAGGGTTCTTGGCAAAGGTGGATTTGGAACGGTTTATCATGGCTACATGGAACATACTCAAGTAGCTATAAAGATGCTTTCAGCATCATCTGTTCAAGGGTTCCAACAATTTCGTGCAGAGGCAATGTTTGTCAAATTAAATAAACTAACACAATGTCTTGAGCTCAATCTTATGTGATGAATTGACATGTGTTTATTTGTGGCCTCTTATATTGCAGGTTAATCTTCTTATGAGAGTTCATCATAAAAACTTGACAGGCCTTGTTGGATATTGCAACGATGAGACCAACGTAGGGCTTGTCTATGAGTATATGGCCAATGGAAACTTATTGAACCATCTTTCAGGTTTGACTGCAAGTAGTACTTCCAAATTTTTGGGAACTCTGTAACTTAATTCTTCCACCACCATATGATTGGAGCTCCCTTGTTCTTCTGTTCTTCTTATGGATGCAGATAGCAGATCAAGTATCTTGACTTGGGAAGATAGACTTCGAATAGCAACAGATGCTGCACAAGGTCTGCAACTAATAAAATGATTTCCATGATCCTTTTCTTAGCAAGAATCTCTTTTATTTGTTTGAAGTTTTGTGTGAGCGATGTAAGAATTTTAAAATGCAGGATTGGAGTATCTGCATTGTGGTTGTAAGCCACCTATAATGCACAGAGATGTGAAATCAACAAACATCTTGCTGAATGAAAATTTCCAAGCCAAAATATCTGATTTTGGACTTTCTAGAAATTTCCCTACAAATGATGGAACTCATGCATCCAGCATTCTTGCTGGCACTCCTGGCTACCTTGATCCTGAGTAAGTATTTCACACTTTTAAGTTTCCCATTATCATCTTTACTAGTACTTAAATTCACAACAAGTCTTGGAAGCAAACACAAATTAACTAAAACAGCAAGAAGATAAAGAAAAAATAAGTGGACATTTTAGCGAAGTCCTTTGCATCAGAAAATGTGATCTGATTAGTTCCATGTATGGTTTGGCTTGCAGGTTCTACCTATCAAACAGGTTAAATGAGAAAAGTGACGTTTATAGCTTTGGGGTTGTGCTGTTGGAGATTATCACAAGCAGACCGGTTTTAATGAGGACGCATGAGAGAATTCACATAAGTCAATGGGTTGGTCTCATGCTTGCAAATGGAGACATTAACAGCATCGTCGATCCTAGGTTAGAGGGAAATTTCAATACCAACTCCGTCTGGAAAGCTGTGGAAATAGCAATGGCATGTGTATCCGTAAATGCCATCAAGAGGCCAAGCATGAGCCAAGTAGTGGTGGATTTGAAGGAGTGTTTGGCAACAGAATGTGCTCGAACAAATCATAGCCGTGTGGCTGAATTCAATAATTTCAATGAGTTAATGGCTGACAATTCGATCGTTAGGCTAACTCCCTCCGTGAGGTAGTACTGGTACTAGTACATAATGCTTCTGCTTGAGTTCCATTGTGCCTCTGTAGCTAATCATGAAAAGAAGCTTGAATTTGGGCTCTTGTTTTGGCTCTGTCCTAGACTTCTAGTATTGATTTAAGTTCTTCTCATCACAGATGTTAGGCTTCATCTCCCAAGTTTGTAATCTTCCATTTTTCTTGGATGTTGTTCGAGTCCATGAATTTGGCCTCTTCTTTGAACTCTGTTCTTGTATTAACTTAAGGTCATATTACCAT